ATTTATTAAAAGCTATAGTTAACTTTATCTCTAGGGGGTTACCTCTAATAAGATTTTATAGATTAATTAAACGTATAAATAACCTTAAATTATCCTTTATACTAGTTCTTAGTAAGAAGTTAGAATTTACTAAGGAACCTAATTCTTTAGCTTCTTTTTATCTTTAGCTTTAGTAACGTCCTCTATATATTACTATAGGTTAATTTTATTAATAGAGGTCTTAGGCTTATAGGGGTAGTTATAGGCTGTATAGTTAGTAGCTTTATATCTAAAGTAAGTATTAGAATTATAAAGGTATTAGTATAAAGTAGTAAGGATCTTATCTTAGTTATTAGTTTATTTACTAGTAGGGGTAGACTTAGTAGTACTTAAAGTACTAAGTAATACTAAGGTGTTAGTAGTATAACTAGTAGTAAACCTATAGGCTTTACTAAACTAGTTAGTAGTAGTAGTAGCTAGGGGCTTTATAGTATAAGTAATCTTAATAGTATATTTAGTATACTACTAGAAATTAATCTAGGCGTCTATATACTATTAGATAAGGTTATTATAAAAAGTAATAAAGAGTTTATTATAAAAGCGTTACTTTTACTATAACTAAAAGAGACTAAAGACCTAAGTATATTTAGTAAATTTAGATCTCTTTTAGTAAATATTCTTAAAAAACACTATAAAGGTATTAAGTTTACTTTTAGCCTTATTTACCTTAGTAAGGCTAGTGTATATAAATATAAGTTCTATAATAATATCTTTAGTAGTAGTAATAGTAAGGTTTATTTTACTAATTAGAGGAAACACTAGGTTTATAGCGTCTCTACTAATATAGCTATAGACATACTTAAAGTAATAGTCCTAACTTTACTAAAAGTAATTCTTTAGGTAATAAGTAATATATAGTATCTAATAGTTAAACTTTAGATTTTTTTTATCCTTATTATCTTTAATCTTAGTAAAAATAAAGATCTCTAGTAGTTTAGCTTTACTTTTATAATAGTAAGTATTCCTACTAGCTAATAAAAAAGTAGAAAAGTTCTCTTATAAGAACTAAGTTTCTAGGTAAGTAATTTATTATTTAAGGACCTTATTTATAAAGCTACTAGTCTTACTAAGGGTATTATAATTCTTAAGAACCTTAATCTAATTTATTAAAGTAAAATTAGTAGTATAGGCTTTATAAAGCTTTTATTTTAAGGTATTAACTATATCTCCTTACTTTTTTTAGACTATAAAGACGTCTTATATATAAATATAAAGTTATTTAAAGTTATTAGTATAGTAGCTTATAATAAAGCTTAATTTAAGCTTTAAGTTTTACTAAGTATAATATAAAGTAAGTTAGTAATATACCTAACTATATAGATTAGCTAGATTTTCCTTATATAAGGCTTTAAATACTTTTTTAGTAAACTTTCTTTTTTTCTTATTACTAAATAAGGACTAGTTAGTAACTTAAATAAGTATAAGTAGGCTATTAATATAGCGCTATAGGTATTTACTATAAGTAGTTTAGTTAGTATTAGTAAGGAATTATTTAAGGCTTAATTCTTAGAGGTAAAGTATAAGGTTAAATTCCTATACGTCTTTAGCTTTATTATCTAAAAAAAAAGTACTTTATTAATTAGAGGTAAGGTTTTAAGTAAGGGTTATTAATTTAGTATTAAATACTAAAGGGCTGCCTCTACTAGTAGATTAGGCTATCTTAATAATAAGGGGAAAATATAGAGGAGTTTAAGGGCAGTATTAGCTAATATATAACTAAGCCTAGAATAGAGAAATAAAGGGGAGAGGCTAGGCTAAGGTCTAGTAAAGAAAAAAAGGTTTAAAATATTATACTTCTATCTCTAGAGAAAATAAAAGTAACCTTTAAATAGTATTATAGTAGTAATACTATATTAGTTAGATATATAACTATATTTCTTATTATAAGAATCTAAAGGTAAAAAAAAAAAAAATCTACCTTAAGGGGCTAGTAGTCTTACTAGCTATTATATAGCTATTTATTTTATTTATAAGTCACTTAATAGTTCTTATAACTAGGGGTTCTTATCCCTTACCCTTTAGTAGGTCCTTTAGTGCTATAAGGTTTACTAGCCACTAGGGTATAGGTGTACAGACTACTAAGGCTTAGGGCCTTAGCTACTAAGGCGTAGTGTATAGACTACTATAGCTATAGCGTACTTACTACTAAGGCGTAGTGTATAGACTACTATAGCTATAGCGCACTTACTACTAAGGCGTAGTGCCTACTAGCTACTAAACTACACTATAACCTTATTCCTATTTATATATCCCCTACGTAACCCCTCTAGCTATAATATTCTAGTACTAACTATAAAAAGTAAAATAAAAATTCTTTTTTATTATAAAAGTAATATAACTTAAAGCTTAAGAAATAGTTAAGAAAAAAGCTAAATATTATAATAATATAAATAATAAAAAGTATATAATACTTAAAAAAGTATTATAAGGCCTAGTTAATAAAAAGTATTAAAAGGTATTATAAGTAAATAAAGTATCCTTATTATAAAGTAAGTAGTCCCTTACTAAGTAAAGTAATATAAGACTTATACTTTAAGCTAAAAGACTAAACTACTTAAAAAAGGTAGTAGTTAAGGCTTAACTAAAATATAATAATATAAAAGTAAAGCTAAAAGTAAATAATTAGCTAAAAAAATAACTACTTATTTAGTAGCTTACTAAGCTTAATAAATATTTCTAGATATCTCTTAAGATACTAAAAAATAAGTATAAAGTATAAAGCTTAGCTATTAAATAGTCTAAGTAGCTAATAAGGAGACTACTAGTAAGTAGCCTACTTAGGGTCCTAAGAGATTAGGAGTTAGGTATAAGGCTTAGCTATTAAATAGTCTAAGTAGCTAATAGGGGGGCTACTAGTAGATAGCCTGCTTAGAGTCCTAAGGGTAGGACCTTAGAGGGGGGGGATTATGTTAAGTGCCTAAAGCTAGGCCCTAGGGGGGCACTAGAGTAGGACTAGGACTAGATAAACTAGTTACTAAAGGAATAATAAAAGGGGAAAACTCTATAGAACATAGGGGGAGAGAGGTATATTAGAATAATTATTATAATTAAACCCTAACTACACCTATTACTAACTCCTTTACTTGATACTATCCCTGCCTCTGACACCAAGTCGATCTTGGTCGCTTTCTCGCTGCTCACGTTGTTGACCAGCGGGAGCACATCTTTAAGACCATCGTGGACTGTCCGGTAGGCGCCGGAAGTGAAGGTAGGAGTTGCCTCCGACCTATTCTTCCGGACATTTGCCGATCAGCAGGACAGTTGGTTTTTGGTCAGACGGCCGAAGTGTTTCCACTGCGGATAGCGCGGCGGAGAATCCTGCATTACCACTACCTACGACCAGGACGTCGTATTCCGCGGTGGGTAGAGGCATGACGCCAAATGTAAGAAAGGTGGGAGACGAACTGATAATCTGAAATGAAGGCTACACTTAGGATTGACTTTACCAGAAGGGCGGGGAAGGCGTTGTTTGATTGAGAGATGACAACGTTTGCAAAGACTTGAAATATTCCGAAGACAGGAGTTCCCGTCATCTCGCTCCCGCGGGAGCGGAAAGTTACCCCTCATGCGGGATGTAGAGGAGGCGTAATAACAGGCCACTTCATTTCAGACGTATCCACGGGTACCACATGCCGATGACAGAATGGACGACGACCGGCAATGAATGGGCCTGAGATGTTACAGAACTTGCATATGTCTGCGACGACTGAGTAGTAAGCTAGCAGATCGATTGGATGAGCAATTATCTACGTGAAAAGCTCCATGTCATTGAAGTGGCAGAGGTATCCGCTTAGCAAAGATCACCACCATCGGCACGGCCGAGATGGCTAGATAGTCTGCTCAAAAATCTAGTTGAGTAGGCGCCCTAACATGGTTGGACTTCTCTCCCCTAGTATCCGCCCCGGGCACCGTCGCCTCTTGTAACCCCATTAAATTCTATAATCTTAGTAACCGGAAAGATAGTAGATCCATCCAAACTTTCGTTTCTTGTGGCCATCGTAGCTTCCTTATTGGGAATGGCCATTGTTCTCCAATTGATCTCGTGCGCGGACCATAACTGCATTCGTAATCTAGGCGTATCGGGCAAGGAAAAAAAAATCTCGGCTACTACAGAGACTGCTACAGACACAAAGAAGACGGAACTACCACCACTGCAGCTTGGCGTGATTGTCATGTCACCGTCCCTCATCGCGATGGTGATATCAATAGCCTACTGGTTGCAGCAAATGTATTTGGGTATGAGGGTCTGCGTTAGTAAAGGTAAGCTTTAGGCTAGACAGCGCAATTTTGAATCAGCTTCTTTCCTGACGGTGGTTATCAAAGCTGCATTCTTTCCTGCGTAATAATCTGTTAGATAGGCGGGGGTCTACTCCAAATCCATCAAAATAGTTCCAAGGATGTTGTTGAATGCAAGTTGACGTTTACGTGTGGGTGTGTGGGATGAATTTCCAGTTTTCGGTCGAGTCATTGACTGTGGACCTGCAACAATCAACTGTCCCACATCTTATCCGTATTGAGCGATAGATGATCCACAAAGCATAGTCAAGAGTCAGTGCGTTAGGGTTCTTGTAGATGGGTGAAGAACAAAGCAGACAATGAGATGCTATAAGTATTTTACAGCTAAAGTCTTACATAATGAACATAACGTTCATTATGTGACAGTGAGCTGAAGCATAATGAACCACGATGGCTGAAATCGTGAGGACTTCCTATACCGCTCCATAGAAGACATTCTACGTTTAACCAGGAATCAGGGTTTACCTAAGAGTTTATGACGCTGCCGGAATAGATGTGAATAAAAGATATGTCTTTATGCCCCTGAAGCATTACATGGGTATGCCTTTGACGGGAGACTTTTATTACGTTCATTTCCAGAACTGCTGTTTACCCTTTTTGACTTTCTCCTAGACAGGTCCTGCTTTCTGGCACGATAAGTAGGAAGCATTGCTTGCAAAAAAGATATGACTCCTACGATATGCGACTCAGTGGATACCAGTCGTCCCTTCAGATCGGTAATTACTCACCCTCTCAGAGCGATCTTCCAAAGAACCTATTGCGCTTACACCTGAACTAGCGACCTGATATTGTCGTACCGAAGCTGAAGGTTACCTTGCACAACCCAAGTTTGGTGAGCTCTGGATTTTACTTCCTTGCACCTTTCAAGAGCTATGTTTCGACACCAATGATATTCGACAATGCGGGGGTGAGTTATATGTCAAATAACGGGCCTATGCACCGTCCAGAGCTCAACGAATGTAGGAATTAGTATGGGCTGGCAGCGACGCATACGCAGGAACAGAAGGAGCAGGTGCCCATGTCTACGATTTTCACACATGCGACTTCCAGGGCTTACCGCATCTATGCATGCTGCGCGGCTTTAACGACCAAGGCAATGCTAGGGGTCAGGGGATTATTCTTGATTCGCATTACCAACCTGTGAAGCACATATCAGGCGGGGGGCACACGACCTCGTGCGACCTTCATGAGTTTACAACTGCAGAATCCGGAACAACATCAATCATCACTCAGTATCGGCGTCGACTATACGATTTGAGCGGACAGGTTGAAAACCGTGGCATGATCTGGATCCTCGAGGGAGTCTTCCAGGAGATAGAGATCGAGTCAGGACGGGTAATATTTGAATGGAGATCATTGGATCATGTCGACCCAGCCGAAAGTCAAGTTCAACCTGGGCGAGGAACCCGTACAGCACCATGGGATTACGTCCACCTGAACTCGGTTGAGAAAATGTCTGATGGTGACTACCTTGTATCGGCAAGGCATACTTCAACAATTTTCAAAGTCTCCAGCCGGGATGGAAGTATTATCTGGCGCCTTGGTGGATCCAATTCGACTTTTGGGTCTATGGAACCAGCGATCCTGTTCCAGCATCATGCCCGCGTGCTATCGGATGGAGCAGATACTACCAGGATCTCGTTATTCGACAACGCTCGTCGTCCAGCTTTCGAACCTGAGCGACCATCTTCCGGCTTGCTTGTGTTGCTTGATCACCGAACAAAGACGGCCCGAGTTGAAAAGCGGTATTCTGGACCAGATATTGAATACACAACCAAAATTGCAGGTAGTACACTCGTTCTTCCCACCGGGAACGTTCTTGTAGGGTTTGGCGATGCAGCCTGCTTCACCGAGTATACCAGCGATGGAATACCAGGCTTCAAAGCATGTGTTCGGGACCAGTCACACGGGACCCTTTACCGCGTGTACAAAAGCCCATGGATAGGTATGCCGCTTAATACGGTGGCACTTGTCTCATTTTCCCGTACACCGGCTTCATTGACAGCTTTCCATGTCAGCTGGAATGGCGCCACGGAGGTGAAAAGTTGGCGAGTCTACGGTTCTCTGCATCCGGATGGTCCGTTCTCGCAAGTCACCCAGGTGCCCAAGGAAGGATTTGAGACTATCATCACTACGGAACATCACTACGTCAAATCATATGTGGAGGCAATCTCTTCTACCGGAAAAGTTCTCGGAAAGTCAGAAGTGGTAGCGACATTTGTGCCATCTGAAGCTGCCGCTATTCAATGTGACGACATATGGTGCACAGAGCCACAACACTGTCTCGCGCCAAGTCAGATCACCACCACCGCCGCCGCCACTAGAGTCCCCAAGGCTAAAGCTTTGCGGGTCGTTAACGGTTTGCAGCATTTACCTTTATTCCAAGCATTTATCTTAAATATGATCGTCACTATAATCTTGGTTCTATGTATTAGATTGGCTAGAAAGCACACAGTTTCAAGGAGATGAATAGGTAGGGTCATTCAATTTCATACCTCTGGCCACATCCAGTATCTTTGTAAATAATAATTCTATACTCTATCAAAGTACTATTGGAAAATTGTATAGACGTCGCGGTAGAAGTTAAAAGGCTAAGATATAGTATGTGTGTGAGTGAGTATTTTAGACCACGGGAATAAAATCCACGCTGACTGTTTCCCAACACTAGTCCACGGGCGTACGGTGAGCATTACGAGAGCATAATAAGTATCTACGATACGTTTTGTTTAATGTTTAAATAATAAGGCTCTGCTACAAGACTAGTTCTATTCAGTGCCCGGCACCCTGCTAATCAGCAAAGCTACTGGCAAGTCAAGCTGCGCATTGCATAAGACTGAATATCAAAGTAGCTGTTCGTGAAACTCGATTCTTCATTGTAGTTGATCTTCAAAGTCCGAAGCCAAGAGGGAACTCGACCTGCATCTCCAAAATCACGAAGCAGATGTAGAAAAACGTGCCTTATCCTTCCTGGTCTGAACGTCATGGTCACCGGTTTACTGAGAATCGAGCTCGGCGTCGCCCTTATCCCCGGAGGCCTCGCGCTGAGTGTAGATGTATCGGGACTCCAACTCGGCGTTGCCCTTCTCCCCGGAGGCCTCGCGCTGAGTGTAGATGTATCGGGACTCCAACTCGGCGTTGCCCTTCTCCCCGGAGGCCTCGCGCTGAGTGTAGATGTATCGGGACTCCAACTCGGCGTTGCCCTTCTCCCCGGAGGCCTCGCGCTGAGTGTAGATGTATCGGGACTCCAACTCGGCGTTGCCCTTCTCCCCGGAGGCCTCGCGCTGAGTGTAGATGTACCGGGACTCTAGCTCAGCATCAGCGACACCTACATAGAAGTTGTTAGTAGCCACTTTATCAGAGTTAGGAACTGTTTGAACTTACCAGTCGCGGGTGCGGCCTGAATCAGAGAGGCCAGGGCAAGCACACCTGCGCAGAGACCGCGTGCCAACATGACTAATCAATGGATTTGTTTGGTAAATTGTAAAGTGGGATGATTTCATTAATTGATTGATGGACCTACGGAAAATAAAACAGAGAAACTGACTGAGGCGTGACCATCTTAATAAGTAGTTACGCTAAGCGCCCTAGTTTTCAAAGAGGATCCAAGCGTCGTTTTAACTGCCTGTTCTGGTTATTACTATATACAGTGGCTTTCCTCTGACTTGCATAATTACGTAGTATTCAACCTGATTGGTGTCAGATATACCCTGGCATAATAGGTTTCGGTGAAGTCCCCCCCTTGTGTGAGCTGGGGATCCTGCTCATGGGGGGGTATTCAAAGTTCGGGGGGGGGTATCCGGCCAGTGGGGCAAAAGTTTAGGGGGGGGTAAAAGAGGTAGGGCTAACTAATTATGTAAAAGTAATACGTGTAAATATTAGGGCTTTTTGCCTATAGGCGCACAGTAAAAAATCTATAACTAAGATTATATAACTTTATTTACTATCTCTACCTTAGGCCTAGCGCTAGCTTGTACTTAGGGTATACTAAACTCCTACTAAGAAAATTTCTTACTTTAATACTTCTTTTTTTAAAAACACTATAAATCTATAATTACTACTATAGCACTACTAAGGTATTTCTATAATTAATTCTTAATACGTTCTTACTATATCTAGAGTATATACTAATAATATTCTAGATATCTACTAACTATATAAACCTAGGTATTACTAATATATATAACCCCTCTGCCTATAGACACTACTATAGTAAGTATATATATAATCCTTATTAAGTAGATATATAATATATACTTATTTAATATAGGCCTTATCTTAAACCTAAACCCTAACTATATCCTAGCTAGTATAGCCTATATCCTTACTAATGTAGTATATATATAGAACGCTAACTTAAATTATATAGAGGTTTAGGAAGCCTATAACGCTAGCTGTATATATAAGTTTTTAGATTAATATAGGTATATATTAAGTATATACTAATCTTATTCCTAATAGACACTATTACTATAGAGATAAACACTTATATATTAACTTAATATAAACTAGGAATACTACTAGTATATACTAACTACACGCCTAGGCGCTTTAAACGTAGGAAGTAAGCTCTCTACTATTAATACTAAAGTATAGGTTAATATATATAAAGTATAGATTAGGTATATACTAACCTTAATCCTAGTTATAACGTAGTTATTAATCCTAACACTAATATTATATATAGCACTATCTATGCCTCCTAGCTAGCTATAAGTATATCCTAAGTATATACTTAGAATAAGCTAATATAGTACCTAGCTTTACTACTATATACATACTGCCTACCTAGGCGCTAGTATATATATATATATAGTATATACTAAGTATATACTAATAATATACTAGTTAAGAATTACCTCTATACTAATACTGCTATTACTAAGGAGGTAGCTAGTAAACTATATATACTAAGTATATATAACAGCTAGTTATAGTATTAGGAGAGTATATACTAATAATATACTAAGGCTATTTAGAACTTTATCTGCTTTAGTTAGTAGTGTAACGTAAACTATATTTATAAGCCTAGGTATGTTCTTAGTACTATCTTAGTATATATATAGCTAATATATAAATAGCGTTAGACCTAATAGTAGTCTCCTCTATATCTATTATAATAGTATAAAGAAATTAGTATAAGTCTCTTTTAGTATATACTATATATATACTAAGCTAACACTAGATTATAGTTATAATAATACTACCTTTATAGCTACTTATAAAACTTAATTCTATTAACCTATATATATATACTTTAAGTATATACTTAGTATTACCTTAGAGGATACTATTTATTTTACTATTTATTTTACTATTTATCTTTTATATTACTAATACACCCTAGCTACTATATAGTACTACTAAGCTTTAGTATAAGGTTATTATAAGAAATATATTAAAAGACATATTAGTATCTACTCTTAATAAGTAAGGCATAAGCTGTATATATACTAAAAGTATACTAGAATAATATCCTATATTATAGACTTTATAATAACCTTATACTAAATCTAAACTAATCCTAACTAGGTAGACATAGAGGATAAGGTAAGTATATACTTAATATATATTATAACTATATATACTAATAATTAAGTAAGATAATACTATAACTTTAGTCTCTTTATATAAGTATAAGAATATAAGTTATATATCTCCTTAGTATATACCTTATATATACTAATAATTAATCCTATAGCGCCCTAGCTATCCCTATAAGGAGAGCCTTAAGTTACTTACCCTAGCTTCTTGCCCCCCCCCTAAGAAGCAGGCTAGTATATATAAAGTGTATTCTTAGTATATATATAATACTAATCTATTTAGCTCCTAAGAAGAAAGGTAAGGCCCTAGCTACCCTTACTACCTATAAGACTTATATATAGTATCCTCTAGACACACCTTTAGTATATATATAGCTAATATTTAATAGGATCCTAAGGTCTATAGGAGGCTATTTTTTTTAAGCAGGACAAGGAGAAAGGTAGTGTCTAAGTATATACTAAGAACTTTTTAGGCCTAAGCTAAAAAGGTATAATATATATTATAGGTATATACTAAGTATAACCTAATAATACACCTAGAATAAATTAAAGTTTAGAATAACCTAAGTTATATTTTAGTATATACTAAGTTAGTACTATAAGTTAGTTAATAATAATTAAGATAGTATTAAGTATATACTATATATATACTAGTAATATACTAAATTTAACCTCTCCTTAAGTCCTACCTAAGCTATACTACTTCTGCTTCTAAATCCTAGATCTACTTCTTACGCCTTAGGCGCTTTACCTTATACTATAACTCCTAAATCTAAACTTTATCTTATTCTCTTTTAAAATAAATACGCTACTACTAAAAACAAACTTATAACCTTTATATAAAGGCAGAAACCTCTTACTAGCTTATTAATTAAGTATATAAGGTTTACTTTTATAAATAAGAACAAGATATAAGTAAAGATAATACTAGTAGTAGTAGTAATAATATAAAGAATAGGCTATATATAAGTAGGGTTAATATATAAGGCGTGCTTAGTATATACTTAAAGCTAGCTCTAGATATACTAGGTATAGTCTTACTTCTCTCTAAAACACTATCCTCTTTATCTATAACACTACTATCTTTAACACTTAGTAATAGTATATTAAATAGGTTATATAGATTAAAGGGAAAGGTAAGGTTATTTTAGCGTTACTTTACTTATATAGCTTGCTTTTTTTATATTTTCCTAAGAGCTTTAGTGTAGTAAGCAGTTTAGCTTTTATTTCTCTATAAGGATTAAATACTAGTATAGATTTCTACCTATACCTTTACTACTTCTTAAAAAACATATTACTTAAGCCTAAAGTATAGTTAGTATATACTAAGGATATACTAGGGATATATAGAGGGTATACCTAACTATAGTATAGCAGCTAAAAGTTATAACTATCTCCTAACTACTAAGTTATCCTAGCTATAACTAGACTTAATAATATTATTATACTTCTTAGTAAGAACCTTTACCTCTAGGTTAATATTACTTATTTTAAGTATAAGCCTATATATAATCTACTTTACCTTTTTACCTTTAAACTATAACTTAGTCTTAGGATATTAAGAGGTTATACCTTTAATATACTCTATATATACTAAGGATAAGGTTAATTCCTATAGTCTCTAAAGCTTATACTTAGCTATATAGTTAGGGAACTTCTTTTACTAGTTATAGCGTATATAAACCTTATAGAATATAAGGATATAGTAAAAGTGCTCCTCTTAGCTTCTTAAAGGGTTAATTTTAGTAAGGTAGTTACCTAGGCCTAGTATATAGTTAGTATATATAAAGTATATACCTAGAATATAGTAAGTATACCTCTAGCTTATTTCCTATTTATATCTATTATAATAGTATAAATAAGGAAGTTCCTAGTTAGATTAATATAATACTAATCCCTCTAGGAACTAGCTACCTTATAAAGGTAGCTAAAGTATTCTCTAAAGAGCTGCTTATACTTATCTCTTAAATAGGTATTAGTCTATATATAGACATAAGAGTTAATTTCTAGGTATAGTTAGTAAATATCCTTAGTATATACTAGGTATATACTTAACGTACTCTAAGTTTTTATATTCTAACTATAAATCTTAAAGGTATTAATTTCTCCCTTAACTATCTTAAAGGCTATATCTACCTTAAGGAACCAGGCCTTTAGAAAGGCCTTAGCTTAAGTAGATTTAATATAGATAATAATAAATCTGTTATCTGCTATTTTAATAATACTATAAATCTATTAGTCCTCTTTTAACCTTATCTTATTAAAGGTAAATTCCTAGATAACACCTAGTATATATTTAGTATATACCTAACATATATAAGGTATATACTTATTATATATTACTTACTTATATAGCTAGAACTAGCTAAAAACTTAAGAAGACAGGCTTTATAAATAAGGACACTAATAATATCCTTATTCTATAAAGTAGTATAAATAGCCTAAAGTATACTTATCTTAAACCTATAGTATACCTTATAAATCCCTAGATTTATAGGTAGTATCTTTATATATACTTAGTATATACTAAATAAATATCTAGTAGATATAAAGCTTACGTATAGTTAATATTATAATATCTAGCTTCTTTAAAAGGCTAAGTATAAGTTATTATAATAACTAAGAAGGAAGAGTTATTAGTAAAAGTAAGATATAGGTATATAAGCCTCTATAAAGGAGGAGAATAAATAAGAAGCGTACTTAGTTAATAGGGATATAAATATCTATCTTAACACTATATATATACTTCTAAATAGATCTACTGCTAATAAACGCTAGATATTAGAAGCCTAGAAATTTAGCTTATACTATAAATATATAAGGGATATACTAGGCATATACTTACTATATATCTTTTTTATACTAGACATCTTCCTAACCTAGACGTATTTATTACTTTAGCTATATAACCGGCCTATAAAGTAAAGCTACTATAGATACCTAAGATTAATTTAACTTTAGTACTAGGGAATTAAAAAGGCAGTATACTAGGTCTTAGTATTACTTAATTATAGGCACCTAATAAATATTACCTATAAATATTGATATATATCTTACTATAGTATAGTATATATTAGGCTTATACTTACCTTATTCTAAGTAAATACCTAGAAGGGCTATCTACTACAGGTATTAGCATTAGGGTTACTACCTTAACCTAGCTGCTAGTATAGCTTATTAGGCTTCTAACGCTTCTTAATTAACTTAAAGAATCTAGTAAGAGTTAGTATAATCTATAGTAAGTATATATAAAGTATATACTAGATATATTAGTAATATACGCTTTAGTCTAGCGCTAGATATCCTTAGTAATTATTAGGGTAATTACTATTCTTTTTACTTTTTCCCTTACAGCCTAGTGTATTTAAATAACTTTCCTCTTATTAAAATACTTATTAGGCCTTAGAAGGGACTTATAAGTAAATTTATAGTGCTTTACACTACTACATTAGAGGGATTAGTACTAGACTTTATTATTCTCTAGGTTATTCCTAGTATATTATTAGTATATACTTACTACTAGTATAAGATATACTAAGAATATATTACCTTAGTACTAGGTATAACTACTTAGATATGCCTTCTTATACTTAGTTAAGTACTAGATAGTATCTAAAAGCTATTAAACAAGCTGCTAGGCACTAGCCTTTAAGGTATCCTAAGTGTGTTAATATAATATAATATAGTAAAAAATACTAAAGGGTAAGGTTACTAGATAAAGAGGGGGGGTAAGATAGTCTTTAATAGACGTTACTATTATTTTCTTTCTACCTCTATAATTAAGAAGAATACTAAACTACTAAAGAGATTCCTAAAGAATAATAAGTATATACTAAGTATATAGCTAGTATATATAAGGTATATATTAAGAGAATACCTAAGTCTAGCCTATCTTAAATAGTAAATCTAGGGTATTAGCTCTTCTTTAACCCTAATAGTATTTATTAAGCTAGTAGGTATCTTATTCTACTTAGTAATTAAGATCTATAAAGTTAAAATAACTTATATTATTTAGCTATCTACTTAGTATATACTAAGTACTAGCTAAGCGTTCTTTACTCCCCTTAGTATTATCTTTATTAACACTATTATACCCTATATTATCTATCTAGTCCTTATTATTAGATAAGGTTAAGGACTAGATAGGTAACATATAGGTATAAAGGCTAGAGTTACTACTAGAATTATTAGGTATATCTATAAAGATAGGGGAGAAATTAGGTATAAGCCTAGTGTATAGTTTGCTAAGGCTAAGTATATACTAAAATCTGTTTATCCTTATGTACTTACTTTCCTATCTAGTTAATTTATTAGCTATCCTATCTATACTACCTCTTTAACTACCTCTTTAACTACCCCTTTAACTACCCCTTTAACTGCCTCTATGTCTACCTCTTCTTATATATCTAGCGTATATACTATATATATACTAAGTAAGTAGTGTCCTATATATAACTTATATATACTAGAAAATAACTTATAGTACCGTACTGTACTGCGCAAAGTTATGCAACGGCTAGTGCATGTATAACCCTTTTACCCCCCCCTAAACTTTTGCCCCACTGGCCGGATACCCCCCCCCCGAACTTGGAATACCCCCCCCCGAACTGTCTACCCGTGTGAGCTCCCTACTATGTATGGCATATCCTAGAAATCCCGGGCACTCCGGATGCTCTGTATGTAGTACACGTGGACGACTGACTTGTGGATGTCAAGGTATTTGACTCGAAAGCCATGAGTTTCCACGAGAGGGATGAATGCTTACCCCACTAGAGTGATAGAGGCCCGCTTACCCGACTCTTAAACGGGCCGAGTATGCTCTGTGGACCATCATTCACGCACGGTTAACAACAATAGTGATCAGATACCGAACAAGAGATCGAAATGGATGTATTAACTGCGATCCGTAAGGGATTGCGACCAATGATATAACCATGAGCTCGGATCCCTAGCGCACCGTAAGAGAGTGCCATCATGCCTCACTTTCTCTGTTTTCTCACGACCTCGACATTTTTTTGCTCTAATTCATTCTCCATTCTTTTTTTTTTGAACACGGAAAGAGAAAATTTAGACACCGCCAGCAACATGTGGTTTCGCAGACAAGGCATATCCAAGCCTATTGCTGACATATTTACAAATGATAGTGACATTGATCGTCGAAAGCTATCACGTACAGTGCCTATGAAAGTCCTATGCTTGGGGTTGGGAAGAACGGGAACAGCATGTACTTAGACCCCTTTTGCTTATTATTACAAACAGATCTTTTTTCTAACACCAAGGCAGCGCTTCGTTCCGCCTTGAAACAGCTGGGGTTCGAGGATACATACCATATGATGAGCGCCAGCGTCGAGAATCCCCCCGACTGCCTGCTGTGGAGCGAAGCTCTTGCGGCAAAATACGACAATACTGGGCAAACCTTTGGAAAAGACAAGTGGGATGCTTTGTTGGGCCACTGTCAAGCTGTATGCGACTGGCCCGCGGCTTCGTTTGCAAGTGAGCTGGTCGCGGCATACCCGGAAGCGAAGGTCATCCTCACGACACGAGACGTCGATAACTGGTTTATTTCCACGAAAGCCACCGTTGACTGGCGCGTCAACGACGGCTTCCTCAGGGCTTTGTCCTACGTCGATTGGGCTTCATCCATGTACCACCCAATGCTTTGGAAATATTGGAATTCGGTCTTCATGGGCGATTTTGATAAGAACGCTAAGGGTGTGTTTCTGTCCCATAACGAGCGGGTTCGGAGTCTTGTGCCCCCTGATAGACTCCTGGAGTTCTGCATGAGCGACGGTTGGGAGCCGCTTTGCAAATTTTTGGAATGCCCCATCCCTGCGGGACCGTTTCCACATGTCAACGAGGGGGATTCATTCATCAAACGCGTTAGGCGGAGGAATTACCTTCAGTTGTGTAATGTACTTTTTCGCTGGTCTACTTGGGCATTGGCCTGCTGGATCTTGTATACGCTTACGCGAAGCGGGGGAAGTACATGAGGTCCCATTATCTCAGGAATAATACTACCTTTACTGTACATACTGTTCAATGAGTCAAATAGGCTTATCAATCGCTCGGCTTTGGGATTTTTCCACTCAACAATCTTGCAATTGGACTAGGTATGTAGGCACCCGGTTGACAAAAAAGATGGCACACCTAAACACTCCCTGCACTGTTATAAACAGCACAACACTAAATACATAAATATACCTATATAAAATAGTCAGGATTAATGTCAGTATGTTCTGCCTACTTTTAAAAATATATTTTTTCTATATCCTAACTGCGTCTTATGGCTGTGTTAGTATAAGAAAAAATACTTGTTAATATTCTTGGGGCAGATGTGCTGTGAGAAAGTACTTTAGGTGTGCCATCTTTTTTGTCAACCGGGTGGTAGGTAACTGACCGACCTTGTTTTTGTGGACCTCAGAGGGAGGTAATAACATGATAAACCCGCTTCTCTAGAGAGAGTGGACTGACAACTAGTCAGGAACCTAGATATCAATAGTGGAGACAAACGCTTTAGGCTACATAACAAGGCGATCCCAGTATCTGTATACTATGTAATTAGACGATCGATTCCAGGACAGAGTTTGCTTGCAGGGTTACTGATATGACGTAAAGTTCTGGTACTTTAGCAATCATGAACGTCCAGTGTGGTGGTAGATGTGCTAAGCCAGAGTAATAGCTGCTGCGGCACGTTAACCCCTCAAATCCTTACCAGTGCTTCTTACGACGGCATCTGGCTCATTTCCCCTTACGCGACCGGCTTCAGACTCGACATATCCTCAGCAGACCATGCGTTGGAAGTTATTCAGCTTGCCTTGGGCGTATCTGCCAAAAGATAAGGCAGCTGTCGTGGCCGTGATAGCTTCAGTCCGGGTTGTCGACTTTTACCAGATAGCAAGCTTCCAGACCTGCATGACCCTTCATCTCCAGTACTTACAGCCAGGGCTTTCAACAACAGAACTGGCGCGTCATGTCGGCGTGGCTCAGGGCATGTTCACGGCGGCACAAGTTGTCTCGGCACCAGCATGGGGCGTTGCCGTCGACAAAATCGGCCGGAAGGCGGTCATTCTCATTGGCCTCATCGCCACAGCCATCTCTTGCGTGGGAGTGGCTTTCGCAGGGTCAATTGGAACCATAGTCTTTTGGCGCTTTCTAGCCGGTGCCACCAACGGCACCGTCATCGCCGCTCGCACAGCCATGTCAGACAATCTCCCTCCGCACAGTCTGCCGGCAGGCTTTTCCCTTCTGGTACTTTCGTTCCATGTGGCCAATGCCATCGCCCCATGTAAGTCGGCCTTGAGCTCACCGAGCATACACACGTTGCCTATCTCTGGTTGGCATCGGAAACAACACGGACACATTGAGGACCTAGGCTAATGCTTCCTGCACAGTAATTGCGGCTACTTCTATCGGTTCTTCTGCCAGATGGCTCTCCTTTCCCACTTTTTCAGAGCCAGACAGTGCCACAGCGACAAAACGGAAAGCAAGTAATCCTTACGCAGTGCCGAATCTTATTAGCGCGTTAGTGCTGGCGGCAGATGTACTGTTAGTGTGGTACAAGCTAAAGGAAGTGCAACGTGGTAGTTATCTAAACTGGCAGAAGCTAATAACCATACCACATGACTGGATGAAAGGATGCCTTCGCCGATACAAGTGGCAATACAGGTCACTGTCAAGCCTCAACTATGAATCCCTAGCTGAAGACACTATTAATGCTGTGGAGATGGACCGGATTGAATCCCAACAGGTGTCAGGTCACGCAATAGAGCAGCTGGAGCCAATATGGACGCTGAAGTTCATTGTCGTCCTGTGTACAATTGGAATCCTAGAGTTCCATCTTGGGTCAGTTTTCTCTCCCAGCTAACCACTTGTTATTAGAAGTACTATTATAATAAGACCTTGGCTAACATAGCTAGTAAAGTGTATTTGGATCACTCTGGCCTTTGTTTGTGGTAGCTGCCCGCCGTAAACCCGACGCTCTTATAATACTGCCTTTTATCTTTTCTGGTGGGCTTCAACTTGAATACTCAGACCTAGGACTTGCGGTAGGGGCTTTAGGATTCATCGGCGTATTCCTACAACTCACTACTGTACCGTCTATTACCACTAGGTTTGGGGCAGTGCAGGCCTTTAAAGCAACCCTTCTGCTATTCCCAGCCAGTCTGTTTATTACGCCGTATTTATCCCTTTTAACTCCTCATAATCCACAAGCCCTCTGGGTAGGGATCTTTGTCGTCCTGTTCCTCCATATTTTAGGACGGTCATTCGGGATTTTAGTAACAATCCTACTAGTAAACCAGTCAACAACTCAGCCTTCCCGCCGCGGAACTGTTCACGGAATAGCAAATGCAGTAGCAAGCATATTTCGTACTGCTGGCTCGGTCGCGGGTGGGTTACTGTACGGGCTTGGCGCGGAACGTAACACAGTTGGTCTGGGTTGGTGGCTAACAGGCGGTATCAGTCTTTTAGGATGGGCTTTGGGCCTGTGGCTTTAGTTGGCTCTAGCAGCTTTTTTTACTTGCTATAGATCTACTTATACAAAAAGCTTTCTATTACCCCACGGAGCTGCCAGCTGTAAGATCATTTTACCATACATAAAGTTAGACTCTAAATTCTAGATTATAAAAAAGCTAGTTTACATTTCACCTTGCATAGAGGAATAAAATTCTGAATTAAGGTTTTCCTTGTACTCTAGATAATGTATTAGGCTTCAATTAATAGTAAGACGTCGTTTCATCTTCCAGACACTCAGCCTTTTCTTGGTAGAACCAAAGGATCGATTCTAGTCAGGGTAGGTAAGAAGTTGTTAGTATATGTGAAGCTGCGAATAGCTTCTTGTGGTGTCAATTAGGACCGTTGTAAACGTATGTGGCCTAGTATACGCACGGACAGGCCACTTGATGGGGGTATTTCTGCCAATTATTGACGTGGTTATACAGGTGCTATGACCCTTGTTTTATTGATTGATGTGTGCGGAGGTAAACAATTAACTCTGAGGCTTGCGTCGCCGTAGTATTTCCTGAAACATATGACCTCAAGGACAAGATGCTCGTGCAATCGGATTCCCATGTCTTGGGTGAGAAAACCCATCTCGAAAATGATGTTGACACTTACCATGATGCTATATGTACTCTATAAAGTATGCGTCTTATCAAGCATCACCTACTACGTACGTCATAAGACTAGCAAAATAAGGCTTTTAACATTATTGCTACATACATAATCGCCAAATCCCGCCTTTCCCTCCATGAATTATAGGCTGTGGCAGCACCCGTCCGAGAAATCATCCGCTGTGACTGCTCCCTAAGTGCCATATGAGACCGTCTCGTACAAACGGGAAACGGTAGCCAAGTAGAACGTTGGCCACGCGGCACACAGTGTCCAGAAGACTAAAGATGGCTTCCCTTGCTGCTAGATGGTACCAGCACCCCGTGATGAATTTACTCGAGGTTATCGAAAGGGGGACCATGTAAAAGTTGAAGTCTTCAATCTGCAGTGAGGCTCTATGAAATGCGGTTCACGCACTAGAATTAACGACAAATAACGCTCGCACCCACATATATACACAAATAAATATAGAGCCACATAAGTGTAACATTTATCTAAGTGACGAGGGCGCAATTAATGAGAATAACTTGACATCTGTAACATTTTCCCTACCGACTGGGATCCCACGTTCTTGTTTCTAGAAAAGTAGACTTTTGTACTTCTTAGTCCAGGAATGCTACTATAGTTCCGGGATCCCGTGCAAGGATAAGCACCCTTGTGTTATATGTATTTCAGAACACTTGCACACCCACCCCATCATCTTGTGTTTCTACAAAGTCAACAGTCTTGCTTTTATATAGCAACCAGATGATATAATGTTTTGTTGTCTTCGTTACTCAAAAGTACTATGTTGAGGTGAATCTAAAAGAAGTGTTTAGGAAACCAGGTATTTCGATTAGACAAATTCGGTATTTTTCTTTTTGCCGACGCGTTAAGATAGTGGTCAGCCATCAAAACTTTGCATTGACAGTAGAGGCAGGTAGTAGCGGATTTAAAATAGATAGGAATGAATTTTTCAATCAATTCATCTCCACCGTCGACTATCCTCGTAGAGTGCTTTCTATTGGCTAGGCCTTATGGGTTGTCACAAACCGCTTGAATTGGTTAAAGCATCCCGCATAGTAGAACTGTCTTGCGATAATGTTTTGAGCTTTTGATTTATCACCTGCATATTCCTCCTGATGGAATTTATCTGGATAGGAAACACTCAAATACGCTAAACTAGTCCATATAAGGAACCGAATGAACGTAAGGACTTTTACTTTAACTTGATTTCTCTCTTATCACAGGTCTCAGGAGCAGAAACTCCGAAATTCCGTTTTAGCGCCACAATCCATTCTGCGATGTGACATCGTGTGCGTCTTGGTAGACAGATTGTTCATGTAGAGAGGGATATCCTGCGATATTCTCTCGGCGTAAGCACTATTGGCGCTCAAAAAGGCAGCTACTATCAGCTTGCAGATCAACGGTTCAAAAATTAATAATGCCAAGAAACGGACAACTAAGCAGCGCGTCGTGGGGAGAAGGACCTCACGAGTTCTCCCTGCTTCTCAGGTGCTTGCCGGACGGCACGCAGAGATTTCTGCTGCTTGGGACCGGTGATTGCAATCTCAGGAGGATGGGCTGTAAGGGAGCTGGATTAAGAGATGATAACATCACAATGAAAAATAATCTCGCTACTCAGCGCCCCCGATGAATATCCCAGAGAAAGACTTTGCAAACTGCAAATGTCTTTGGTTTGAGGATTGTTCATGCCTCCATTCATGATCGGTAGATACTGGTGATCATACCCCACATCGTGCCAGCGACTAACACCACACCTGCGAGGTGGTAAGACAATAGAGGAGGGGTTTCTGCATACTGATGCTGAAGGAATATCGACCCCGCTTTCTCATATTGAGAATGAAAGCGATCATGGGATGGACAGGTCAGTCAAGAAAGAGTATAAAGCTAGGCAGTTGTTCCTCCAGGACTGTTCTATTTGTTTCCTCCACCATCATTACCATCAGCCTCTCCCCCTTGCGACTTAGCAGTATCAAATCAAGCACCACAATCGCACAAATTCAATATGTACTTCTCGTTGATCTTCCTCGGTCTTGCAGCCACCGCGTTAGGTATTGACATTAGAGCCCATAGCGGAGACAACTGCGCCGGGGGCTATGCGGCCTGCGTGAACATCAACCCCAACGTATGCTGCTCGTTCAGCAGCTCTGGAAGCAGCGGCAGGTCGAGTATTGCTGTTGTTGCCGTGCGTGAAACATGTTTTCCCATTGCTTTCGAAACTCTCAGAACTGACGCGCCTCGAGCACAGATTCCAAGCAGCTGGCGAATCCGCACAGAGGCATACACTGAGGGCGGCTGTAGAGCTTTCGGTGGTCAGCGGGACTCGGGAGGAAGTACCAGCGTTTGCCTGCCGTACACAACGCGTGGAGACCGCACGGGGGGGAAGTACTGGTTCCTCAACCGCAAGCGTGCCGACGACGAGTCGTGCCCCGCCGAGCAGCCCGGCGCTGGGAAATGCGACGCCGTCGTCAAGCCTGATACGCTAGGCCTCGCGGACGGCACTGAGTACGACATTACCGGTCTGGCAGATGAGAAGATAGAAGAATTGGTGAGTTCTAGCTGTAGACATGGAAGAAAGAGGATGTTATGGGTGGCACCTAGACTGCAATGCTGACCTACCTGTCCCCCCTGAAGGAGAAGATTGCGAACACCGGCGCCGGTGCCGACACCGTCCCCGCCGAGTTCCAGGCCCTGCTCCGCCAAAATGAGGCCTAAGGCTATACATGGTCTCTCTGGGTAACAGTAGGTTTCGAGACAGAAAACTTGCATCAGACAAGCAAGGACAAACTGGAAGAACAGCAGCGGCGTTCTGCTAGGCCTGTTCGTGACAGCGTTAGTATCCAGATACTGTATGGTCAGCAACTATGTGGCTATATATAATGTCACGAGGTGATATAGGCTACAATTACAGCACAGCAATTGCGGGTCCACTTTTGTGTTCTAGTGCCTTATTCTCATTTGTTACATATAACGAAGGGAGATAAATTGAATTTTGACGAGAAACGGTGACGTTAGCCGATTTTGATCTCGGGGAAGCGTAGTGACCCAGAGGATTATGGGCACATACGAGCAGGTAAAAGACTCTCTTTTCAAGACGGAGGTGGCAACGAATAAGGTCGTGTGATTCACTTTCCATGGGACCTGAACTTGGTTTTGTTTCCTTGCCAGTATGCGTGGATGGTCCAAAAGCTGATGAACCTACGTAGCATAAATTATTCAAGTAACTACAAATATCTTATCCAAGTTTTATTTAATTTCTTTCCAACATGTCCTTGTCGGCGCAAAATGCATATTCTATGTTCATCACCGAGTCTCCGTTTTGGTCATTCCAATGCGGCCAATTCGGTGAAGGACGATCTACTACCATTCCTAGTACTGAGTAATAGGATGTTGGCGAAGAGGGAGAAGGCGGACGAGACTGATTGCTAGTGGTACCCCTGCCGAGCCATCAGACACAGCACGCAATTTTCCTGGCATCTTCGCGAGAAAAGTCTCTACGCTACTCAGCGTAATCACTCTCCCATAAGTGGTCGATGCTAGTAATTCTTTGATTTAGGATTGAATGGAAACACCCCTAGTGCTACATAAACAATAAGTTTTTAACCATAAGGGGGAAATATTAACAGCTCAAGGACAAAAGTTATTGAAGCGGCAGCTGAAAGACCACAGTCAACGATTTACGACCCCATATATCTGTGGGAACGTGAGCTGCAGTATCAATTGTCTTATCGATAGTTACGAGTGCAATTGCGGCCGGAGCGGAGGATGTCGTGCGATGAGGGGCCCGATGTCAGCGCTAGATCCCGCGGCCGACGGGGAGCGGGTTCCGATGTCCGACGCAAGAACACGAACGACAGAGTGTGGCTACCGGAAAGAAGGACTTGCTCAAGTAGAGGGTGATAAGTAAGAATGATAGGATGTTAAATGCAGGAGGCTTCGGTCTGAGAAAGTTTCTCCCCTGGCATTCATTCCAAAACCCCAAGTATCTGTCCCGAAGTTGAGAGCACAATGCAGGACTTCACTGACAAGGTAATATTGACGTCTTTGTTACATGTGCTGTCACTCTTAGTCGCTAATCAAGCCAGGTCATCTTCATTGCAGGGGGCTCCAGCGGACTCGGCAAATCTATTGCAGAGGTTCTGGCGGCACGTGGTACGTGTTCAACAAACTGCGCTTGTCCTCGAGACATGGCGTGTCAGTTCTAATTTGAAGAGGCCAGGGGCACATGTCACGATATTTGGCCGCAGGCCAGATGTGTTGCAGGCGACCAGGACGGAGCTCTTGAAGCTTGCAACCAGTCCGGTGCAGGAGATCAACGCCGTTACTCTGGATTTAATGAACGCAGCGCAAGTAAGGCGTCCGCCCTCCTCTCACAAACGATACATAGCAGTGAAGCTTATCCATCCTCCGCGGACCAGGTCAATGAGGCCTTCCGAGAGCAGCCGCGACTTCCTGACGCACTGTACTGCGTTGCCGGTGGTTGCGTCTCGCAGCTGGGCTTCTTCACCGACCTCACAAGCCAGCAGCTGGAGCAATGCATGCAGAACAACTACCTTACGAGCGTGTTTCCAGCTCATTCCATCCTCAAACTTTGGATAGAACAGGACGAGACGAAGCCCTCGAAAGAAGGGCGGAAAACCCGACAGCTCATTTTCATCAGCAGCGCCTCTGCACTCTGCAACGTCCCGGGCTACATCGCCTACGCAGGTACCGACACAAGTTTTCCCTCCCATGCTATTCTGTTGGCCAAATCTGACGTGGTTTGTATATATCAGCCCCCAAGTGCGCCCAACGATCGTTGGCAGACACACTCCGGCAGGAGGCCGCAATCTACTCGACACCTACATGCCAGTACAAGGTGCACTGCGCCTTTCCAAACACATTCATGACAGAGGCTTTCATAGACGAGCAGAAGACGAAGCCTGAGCTCACAAAGCGCATCGAGTCGTCCGACGGGCCCCTCGAGAAGCTGCAGTCCAAGATCCCCTCCGCCGAGTTTATTGCAGAGTACATTGTCAAGAGGGTCACCAAGGGCGATTTTGCCGTCGTCAGTGACTTCGACACCGAGGTCCTCTGGAGTAATATGCTCGGCTCGTCGCCAAAGAGAGGGTTTGGCTTTGTCGACTCCATGTTGGGTCTGCTTTCCGGCTTCCTCGTCTGGCCTGTGCTAAGGTACACCTGGACACGAATGTGCACCCAAGTTCAGAAAAAGGACACCTGAGAGAACTGGGACCATAATAGTGAAGGCAGCTCTGTAATAGGCTTTTCAAAGGCTAGAGTAGATTTAGTCAGTGTTATCGAAATGAATGGGCTTGACATTGTGCCCAAAGTATGTAGACCGCCTACTCTCCAACTCTGCTATTGACTCTGCTCTCTTGCTCCCAATTCCTGTTCTCAGTGATGACACTTAGACCCGTTTGCTTCACTACATCAACCGGCTCTATAACTTACGCCATCAATATCGGCACAGGGCTTTTGTGGATTTCGCTATCGATGACATCTGTGATGAGTCTTCCTACGTCCTTGAAACTTCTGCTACGTGATTCTCCCGACAGGAAATACTTATTGCTGGGAGAATTGTACGATACATAGTCATCTGGGACTCCTCCCTTCATTCATTGAACCGTTCGGGGGACGGCTGGTTTCATGTTTTCTTATTTCCCGAACTGAATATATGCCCCATAATAGTTGTTAAACCAAAATTCCTGAAAACGATGGTGTGGCTGGGGGCTTATCGGGAAAGTCTTTTTAGATAAGTGAAGGGAAATCCATTGTAATATTGAGAAATGGCGTGACATAGATATCATTTAGTAATGTTGTTAGATGCCCTCCTTCATTCACCAATGATCAGCAGGAGAAATCTCCAAGTCCTTCAGGTCATATTTCAACTATTTCTATAGAGCCTGTTTGTTTATTCATGAACGAAATACCATACTCGACTGCATATGACCGAGGCGAAGATGATGCAAAGAGGTAGGGCGAGCCTTCAGGCCTCGTATAAGCCTTTGTTGAGCATGTTCTCCGCAGTCGGTCTCGGCGGCTCCAAGGTAATGATGCTCCCTCGCGTCTGGCGAAAGTGAATACTACCGTAACGAAGGAGCTCAGCAAAGGTGCCTGGAGCGCGGTCCTTACCAGCGTTCTCGGGAAGATCCCAGAGCGTGCCCAAGTGTGGTGAGTGGGTTAGGCCCTTTGCTCGGGTGACCTTCTGCAAGCTGGCACTCGATAGTATAGTCCACACAACCTCTTCGGCCAGCTGGTGCTCCTTGGATTCCTTGTCGCCATCGACAGGGAGGGAAAGTATGTCCAGAAGCTTCTGGCCGCTGCCAGCGAAGCCCAGAATCATCTCGCCGGGCCAGTCCTCGCAGACGGTGTCGAAAACGAGGACACGGTCGCACCAGTAGTCCACACCCGAGAAGCCGTCGCCGGCGTCATCTGTAAGGCATAGTCGGACCCAAGCCAACACCTGCCAGATGTACTCCATGGCCGTCTGAGGCGGCACTTTCCAGTCCCAGGTGAGGTTTGCATTGTCGATCATTTCGAAAGTCTCATCCTTGGCGAACTCGAGCAGAGGATGGCTAAGCATGCCAGACGATTCCTTGCGCCCGGTCCAGATGTGGATGATGAGGTCGTGCCAGAGCTTGATGAACGGATCGCCCTTCCGAGCGGCGATGAAGTGGTTTGCCCACACCTGGTCGTAGATGAGTGGTAGAGCAATCTGGTAGGGAGTATCGGGGTTGACGAGTTCATCCCAGCAGATGCGGTTGATGTGGCGGACCAGGATGCTACCGACATCCATGCACACGCCCCCGTATGTGTATAGGGCGGCGCCGCGGATGAAGTCGGCGCTGTGTTGCCCCGCCCAGGGACCATTCATCTCACGGTTCACAAAGGCCATGGGGAAGAGGCTGCTGGGAAGGTACTTGAGAACGTAGTTTGGCGACTCTGGTACGTTGTCCAGCACTCGAATCGTCCACTCCGGCCCACAGATGCGCACCCAGTCTACCACGTTTCGCCGAGCCCAAAGAGGCGCTGTTCGTGTCTGTCAGACTTTTTCACACACTTTCGTCATTTGGGGAGACCACGGCTTACTATTCATGAGACCTGAGTCCCAAAATGCCCAGATGTTCTTCTCCGAGGTGACGGGGACATGTTGGTTGAGTTGCTGCAAGACTTCGCCTTCTACGCGATTATCGACGACATCGACCACCTCCAGCAGATTCTGGTACTTCTCTGGGATTGAAAACTTTGGTTCAGGGCTGAAGGGGCTCATGATTGGTGGTTTGATGTCATGCACTAAAGGTTGCCCAGTCGTCTGTGGCAGCTCAAGAGACCAAATCGTCACAGTCTATTGCTGTATTTATCCCTACTTGGCCTCTCTACTTTGGAATCCGAAGTTTCGCTGTGGTACGTACGCAACAAGTCCCCGTCTTCCGTGTCTGTGCCGGGACTGATGAAGGCATTCTGTGCGAACTCATCGTCTCCGGCGGTCCATACTCGGCAGAAATGATGATGTTCGGCCACCGCGGGATGCGAGTGATATCCCTCGCGGCTCTGTGACGAGCCATTTGGAGGCTTGGCGCCCCCCCCGCGGCCCTATCCCCTGCGACTTTGCCGCCTGCAGTCAGGCGGAGGACGGAATCCGTCGCCGCAGTTCGCACTCGCTTATTGTCCTGGCGCCCCCGTGCCTTTGCCAATCCAGGCCAAGGAATGTCTCTGTTTCTCTGTTAATCTTGGCAGATGATCGGCTGAGTGCGCAGGAGAGCCTAAATGCGAGGAAGCGGTTGGCCGGGTAGAAAAATGGCACACTACGATTGTTGTGTGATTGTATCGATCTGTTTTCCACCAAGTCATTACGGGAGCCCATAAGTCCTTTACAAGGTGGCTCGGACTGTCCGCTCCTCTTGCCTTTTCATCGGTGATTCAACGCAGATATTGCGACATATTATTTACGACGGATCAGAGTGTTTCGAAAGCCTTCTGTCAAAGGGCTGTAGCCGTTGATCTTCTCTCAGTCCCAATTATCAAGCACTATATGACATCTTCAGATGAAAAGAAAGCAGCCGTCGATGGTCCTCATGGACAAGTATTCGGCGGCTCCCAACCAAGGGATGAGTCGACGGCTTCCGGCACTGGGTTGAGAGTTGGAGAGCCCAAGACGATGTCAGCGACAAGAGCATACTTGGTAAGTCTTTCCAGCCTATCGCAGAGACTAACAAGCAGAAGCTCACGCTGTCAGCGCATCTTCACTTATCTTGGCCCCAGGGAATGTGCTTTGGAGACCGTCGCCGTCGTCGCCGCGATTGCGTCGGGCTCGGGTCTGGCACTCGTCAACCTTGTTCTCGGACGGCTGATCACGGTCATCACAGACTACATCTTGGGAACCTCGGCTCAAGATCAGTTTATGGACGATGTCGTCAAGCACTGTCTCTATTTCATCTATATTGGAGTAGGGCGTCTGGCTTGCACGTACGTCTACATGACACTTTCGACGTACTCGGCCTATCACATGGTGCGCAACCTCCGTCGGCAGTTTCTGCGTGCGGCACTTAGCCAAAGTGTGTCTTTCTTTGACATGAACTCGAACTCCATTGCGACGCAGGCAGCGACGAACGGCAATCTGATACAGTCTGGCGTGGCAGAGAAACTAATGCTGTGCTTCCAAGCTATAGGCACATGCATCGCTGCCTTCATCATCGCTTTTGAGTCTTACTGGAAGCTGACCTTGATACTGATGTGCGTACCGCCTACCCTCATCGTCGTTATTGGAATCGTGGCGAGTCTCGAGTCCAAGATTGAAACGCGTATGCTGGACGTCTTCTCCGACGCTGCATCCTATGCCGAAAGCCTTCTATCCACCCTTCCGACAATACAGGCGTTTGGCGCCCGACCAAGATTGATCACTCATTACGAAACGTTGCTACACAAGGCGAGTAAGATGGGTGCTGGAAAGAATCCGTTGTATGGTGCATTGTTCAGCATGGAGTATTCCATCATGTACTCTGCCATTGCACTCGCCTTTTGGCAGGGGACCAAAATGATAGCCAGGAACGAGGTGGCCGACGTTGGAACTGTGTTCATGTACGTAAGAATCCAGCTGGAACTGTCTGTCCTGTGAACTGACCATTCCAAACAGCGTGATAATGTCCATCATCGTTGCGACGTTGACATTCACCGTTATTGCGCCTAACATGATCTCGTTTCAGCGAGCTGCCACAGCTGCCACCCAGCTGTTCGCCGTCATCGACCGCAGCCATGACACAGACCCCTTCGATCAAGACATTGGAGAGATACCGGATGAAAACTCTGTGAGAGGTCAAGTTGATATACAGGGCGTCACCTTCAGTTATCCAGGACGGCCTGGGATCGTCGTGCTTGACGACTTTACACTCCGAATCCCTGCGGGCAAAGTCACCGCTTTTGTGGTAAGCACAGACGGCCGGGATCCCCGTCATGCTTAATTCTTTACATGGCCAAAGTTGATGATGATGAGCACTAATCTGTGGGTTCTCTTAGGGCGCCAGCGGGTCGGGCAAGAGTACCATCGTCGGGCTTTTGGAGCGATGGTACGACCCCTCCTGCGGGAGTATCGCATTAGATGGTCGCCCAATCGGCGACATCAACTTGACCTGGCTACGGACGCACATTCGGCTTGTCCAGCAAGAACCTGTTCTTTTCAACGGCACCGTCTTTGAGAACATCGCCAACGGACTGGTCGGCACGCCATGGGAGAATGCAACATTCGAAGAACAGGAGGAACGAGTGGTTAGTTCTTTGCTTCCGACTGACTTGCAGAGCAAACCACCAAATTCATGATCGTCGTCTCATCGCTAACACCCGACTCGTCTTTAGGAAAAAGCCGCAAAACTCGCCTTCGCCCACGAATTCATTACAGAAAAGCTCTCGGACGGTTACCATACCCTTATCGGGGAGCGCGGCGGTCTTCTCTCGGGCGGCCAGAAGCAGCGAATTGCTATAGCCAGAAGTATCATCTCTGAGCCAAAGATTCTTCTCCTAGACGAGGCCACGAGTGCGCTTGACCCGCACGCCGAAAAGGTCGTCCAACAAGCCCTGGATAGCGTGTCGAAAAGTCGGACCACCATCGTCATTGCACACAAGCTGGCGACGATCCGCAACGCAGATAACATTGTTGTAATCAACAAGGGCCACATTGTTGAGCAAGGGACTCACGACGAACTCCTTGCTGCTGAAGGCACATACCTTCGCCTGAACAACGTCCAGGACCTTACCGTGCCTGAGAAAGACAGGGTGGTTCACAAGGAGGAGGTTACGTCGAGCGACGAAGCAGGAAAAAAGAAAGATAGTACAGCCTTTGAAGGCGTCACAAAATCGAAAACGATCGAGCGTGAGCAGCTGGGGTTGTTGGCTGACCGTTACAACTTTGACAAGATGCCCGAAACAGGATTGGTTAGCGGTGTCGTGCAACTTATGCAAGAAAACCCCGAACTCAAATGGCATTTCGTCGTCATCGGAATAACATGCATCATTGGCGGTAAGTTCCCTCTGACAGCACGGCAACTGGGCAGTTGTGAAGCTGACATTATCCTCCTACCTGGAAAGCCGGTGCTCTACCTGGTCAATCCATCCTCATGGCTCGTGTAATGGACGTTTTTCGGCTTCAACCTGACAGGCTTGAGGAGCGCGGGGCCTTCTACTCTCTCATGTTCTTCGTCATGAGCCTTGGTGCTTTTCTCAACTACTTCACACTAGGCTGGACCACCAACGCGGCATCACAGAAGATGCTGGTCAAGTACCGGAGGAATCTACTTGATGGCCTATTGGTCCAAGATATGCAATTCTTCGACCGGCCTGAGAACACCATCGGCGCTCTAAACGGCCGAATAGACTCAGTCGCCCAGGCCATGTTGGAGCTGATGAGCGTCAACGTCGTGCTAGTCATCATCACCCTGATCACCATCGCAGCCTGTGCCACACTGTCGATTGCTACATCATGGAAGCTTGGACTTGTCGGTGTCTTCGCTGGGCTTATCCCGCTGACCGCAGCGGGGTACACCCGTATCCGCCTCGAGATGCAAATGGACCAGAGCAACCAGAAGAACTTTTCAGAAAGCGCTGCTATCGCGTCCGAGTCGATACTTGCAATACGTACCGTTTCCAGTCTTGCAATCGAGCGGCGCGTATTAGAACGGTATACGGAGCAACTGGATCAGGCTATCCGCAAGTCAGTTGTGCCCTTAGCCCAAATGATGCTCTGGTTCAGCTTCACGCAGTCCGTTGAGTATTTCATCCTGGCCTTGGGCTTCTGGTGGGGATGCACTCTTGTCAAGAACCAAGACATTTCCTTTTACCAGTTCTTCGTCAGTTTTATGGGCGTCTTCTTTGCGGGAAATCTTGCCAGCACGCTGTTCACATACACCAGCAGTACGTTGACAAGATGATTCTCTTCACGTTGGTAAAAGTACGTATGCTGACATTGGTATAGGCATTACCAAGGGAAAGAACGCTACTCATTTCTACCTATGGGTCAAATCTCTGCAGCCAGTGGTAAGGGAAACGCAGCAAAATCAAGCAGTAATCCCGCCAAGACACATCGAAGCCATTGGAGTCGACAACGTCAAGTTCAGCTACCCCCTGAAGCCCGATATGCAAGTGCTTCAAGGGGTGAGCATTGACGTCAAAACTGGCGAGTTTGTAGCATTGGTCGGACCCTCGGGCTGCGGCAAGAGCACAATGATCTCGCTGCTGGAGCGCTTCTACGATCCGACGTCAGGAAGCATCAAAATTGACGGCATCGAGTTGGCCGAGATGAATCCGGTTGCCTACCGATCCCATGTGGCCATGGTACAGCAGGAGCCAGCCATGTATCCGACGAGCATCAGGGAAAACGTACTGCTGGGTCTTGTCCCATCCAGCCCATCATCTGGACTCCTAGAGACGGAGGACGAGGTCGTTGAAAAGGCTCTTCGAGCTGCCAATGTATGGGAGTTTGTCAGTTCGCTTCCGGAGGGTATACAAACTCCCTGCGGTACCAACGGATCGCAGCTATCCGGCGGCCAGAGGCAGCGCATTGCGATTGCTCGTGCTCTGATTCGTAAACCACGACTCCTGTTACTGGATGAGGCCACTTCGGCGCTCGACACCGAGTCCGAAAAAATTGTACAGAGCGCATTGGCCGAGTCGGACGCCGGAGACCGGGCGACCGTGGCTGTGGCGCATCGTCTAAGCACCATCAGAGATGCGGACCGCATATATGTTTTCAACGGCGGTACCATCGTAGAACAAGGAACACATGCGAGTTTGTTGGCTCAGGAAGGCATATACAAGAAGCTGTGTGAGGCACAAAGTTTAGGCTCCTAAGCATACAGATAGCCTTGCAGTGAAGTTATTGCGGCCTCGCCAGATCTGCAGATGTTTAGACGGTGGCCATGTATTCATCATGTTTTATGTTCTGACCGTAATCGACTAAACCATCTCAATTGTTCGCCCAATAGTTCTGCATGACCTTCGGTACTTAGACACAAGTACGCGATGAGCTTCAAACATAATAGTGAAAAAGGCAATAGGAGTCTGTAACAAGCTAGAGGAAGTCTGGGACGGCTGTAACCTCAACGACAGTCAGTTGAGTTGGCACTGGGACTAACGCACTTCAAAGATCAATATGATAAGCCCGTAGAACTATGGATCATAACACTCCCAAGTCATTCAAGTGACGCCCATTAAGTCGAAAGGGGGCTCGCGGGGTAGCTCAATAACCTGTTTGTCTGAATTCCACCCTGGTTGATGCAAGCAGGGGATATTAACATCTCATTCGGAAGCATGTGAGTATTTGGAATGGGACTAGTAAGACCAATAGATACCATTATCTCTGGCTGCAGCTTGCCTTGGGGCTGTGTCATTGACATCTTGACCGACCTCATCCTGTTTTCTGGGCGACTTGGCGACCGAGAGACTCTGCCTTCCGGCGCCCGTAGCGTCCGGAACTTACTCCTGTCACAATTCACAATGTGCGTTGGTATGGCACATTGGACTCCTGTCTACGGGAAGTAATAAGTCCGTACTCCGTGGCTTGGTCTATTGAGTGCGGGTGTAACGGAATCCGCGGACACCTGTCTTGCCGATGTTTCCCTTGGCAAGCCTGCAGTGGCCAATGGCTCTGAATGCTCGGCCCAGCAACCGCAGCAATGGATTGCGGAAATGGATGGTGGTACATCTTGGCGCGGGAGGATTATTTCATCCCTCAATAAGCGAATGCGAGCCGGTGCAGTTAGTCTATCCCCACGGCAGAAAAGACAGAACGGGTTCGCAAGCCATCACATCGAGGCGATAAAATAACCCGTATGAATATCAAGTTATATTGTCTAAGTCAACTTCCTTTCAGGCATCGTTCACATACTATAAACAACAAATTTCGAATAAGTCGGCATCATCTTGGCCATATCACCCTCACCTACTTTCTTTCCGCAGGTCACGCAGTTGAACTGACGGCCATGACTTCAACTCTTCTCAAACAAGGCAAGAAGTTGGCGACGAAAGCGGCACAGGAAGCTCTCAAAGAAGCCCGGGGTGAGCGGGATAAGTCCAGGAAAAACCAAAAAACTAATCTCATCAAAAAGAATGACCCGGTGGATGCCCTCATCAGGGTAGCGGCCTCCGCCGTTGGCCTGGTGTCGGAGATAGCCCAATACAGACAAGAGAAGAAGGGTTCAGGGGACATTGAAGTGGCCGAAGACACTTACTCTCCTAACCAAACAATAACGTCTGCTCAGCTCAATGAGGATATATGGCGGCAAGATGAAGCGGGGCGAGACACGGAAGTACGAGAAACGGAGACGAAGTCACCGAAAGAACCCAGTGACCTCGCCAAGGCCTTTCTACAAAGACACCCGCACCATTCAAACGTCATGGAAAACGTAATAATACAGCTGCCCGTGTTGATACCACAACGGCGACCCAAAAAGCGAGCTCGTGGGTTCGTCAGAGCCTATTCACCTGTCTTGGCCGACGCAGGCATCGACCGGAATACCTTCCTCGACTTCATCGACACGTTCAATCAAGCCTTGGAGCCAAACCCATATCTGTACGCTATTAATCTCGCAGGACTGGCGGGAATGGCGACGCCTGAACCGTTCGTACTTCTTGTTGGCATCGCCGTCGCCTTTGCAACAGATGCCGTGATGGAGACGCACAGCCGAAGCAAGTCGGCCAAATTTCTTGACCGGATAAATGCTGAATTTTTCGTACCCCGAGGTCTTGTGTGCCTTGTTGCTACATGGAAGCCTGACGCGGGCGAAGACGAGCAGCTCCTGACTGCGGTGGACTTTGACGGCAGAGCAGTCGAGAAGCCTCCCAAAATGGGACTTGCCCAACAAATGAGAGACGTTGTGACACAAAAGGTCTCCAGCGAGGAGATCATGAAAGGGTTTCAAAAGGGGATCTGCGGCAGAATGAAGGCCAGCAGCGGAGCGTTTCAATGGCCGAACCCTGCACCCCTCATCTTCCCGTCGCCGGAGGAGACCTCAGAGGCGATGATCACAAAGAGGGACGGCACAAAGAAGAATAAGATTGATCGTGGGGAGATCTGGCTGGATGACTTTATGGACAAGCGTGCTCAGGCCAAGTGGATTCATGGGAACCCCGATTCCACAATGACCGTCTCACTCCCAAGGCCACAGTTCCGATCTCGATATGCGGACCCGAGTCATGCAGCTGCCAGTGGTGACATTGTGGCCTTCTTCACAGGAGGTCGCTGGTCCACGAAGGGTAAAGTCACCAGCGAAGTACACAGCGGCATGCCGGATTTCCAGGCTCAAGGAGAGATGCGTGTACCGGCGCCAACGGGAAACGAATCGAAGGATAAACCCATTCAGAAAAAAGACAAGAGCGGCAAAAGTTGCAGCAGCGGGTTTATGCGCGTGCTACAGAAAGTAAGTATGTCCGGAAAGCTCCTATATCCGAATCTGTGTACTAACATATTTGCCACAGGATGTGCTGTATCTGATCATCGTGAATATTCCTTCTTCAACAGATAATAATATGGTCTCTGGCATCAGCACATCATAGCTTTAGGTAAAAGCATGCGGCATGCTAATTGCAAATACCCGCAAAGAGGCTTACGTGTGTGAATGATGAAATGGACTTATTGAACAAGTCAGACTTTATAGATGAAATATATCATATACTACTTGTAGCATTGACACCGTCATTTCTGAACCATATTTCATTATTTATGCATGATAGAAAAGAACGACGTACTAGATCAAAAGTTGGTCCGATCCAATTATGATTTGCAAACATTCACCAAATGCCGCGCTTGTAAGGAGCTAAGAAAATGTTTTCACTCTGACATTCTAATAGATTCTGATATCAAATGATAAACCTTGTCCTACGACATCAAATTTCCTGCTAATTATAACTGTTGCAACGCATGAGTTAAAGAGCAGGCCAATTCAAGCGGGAGCAGTTCAATTATCAAGAGCCGTTCACTCGACAATCTTGAGGATGTTTGACAATACCGTGATTGAAATATTTGCCGTTAAGAAACTTTTTCTTCCCGTTTCTCCGGATGATATTTATATGAGAATCGTTTGTTTTGTTGTACATATAGCAGACTTTCAATTATTACGGATCAATCACAAAAGAAAGAAAACAAATGAATTGAATAGTCCGAAAAACAAAAAGTATCAGGGAAAGGTGCCTCTCTTGACGTCAAATGTCTCCTTTCAAGGCTTTCATCAAGCCATCAGCAGCATGCTCGCCCAAGGCATCTAGGTTTCCCATTCCCAGCAGCTCCAACATACTGATGTTAAAACCAAACGTCGCACGCCACCAAGAACGCATCTCAATGGCGACCAGCGAGTCCATGCCCAACTCGGCTAGGGAAATGGAGGTCTGGATCTCGTCATCGCTACGCAACACGAGACTGAAGAGCTTTTTACCGATCTCATAGGCTAGTTTCTTAGCTGTCTCAGGGTCCTTGAGCGCTCCCTCATCATGTCGGATCGCAGCCAGGAGCGCCTTCACGCTGTCGCTTCCTGCGCCGGCACTGGAACCGGTGTCTCCGCTGATGTTGCGATAGGCCGCCATCCGCATATCCTTTTTCCATAAAGCGCGGTTGCTTGGGTTGGTAAGTGGGATTGTTGACGCAAGGCCAAGCACAAAGTTGGCGCTTGACGAGGGGTTATGCCCCATGATCATGGCTGCACCAACAGCTTCTAGAAGCTCTGCCTCCTTGATCATATAAGCCCCGGTCGCCAACATGGCTCGGCGCAGGTTCTCGTTGTTGGAGATAACACCGATGTCGTCGACTGCCCCGATATCAATGGCAGCAACAGGTAGACCCTTGCTTGAACGGTACAGGGAGAAAGCGTCGAGAAACGTGTTGGCTGCTGCGTAGTTGGTCTGGCCCGGCTGTCCTATGACTCCTGAAATGGACGAAAACAGGACAAAGAAATCCAATTCCATATTTTCAGTTGCCCGATGCAAGTTCCAGGTGCCCTTCACCTTAGGATCAGCTGCTTGTGTCCACTCGTCGAGTGTCATCTTGTCCCAGGCTTGGTCCCGTAGCACCATGGACATCTGAAGGATTCCCTTCAGATTGGGTGCGGCCTGAACCGCTTTCTGAACATCTTCAGTCGAAGTGACAGTGCCTTTGATGATGGTGGTCTTGGCGCCCATGCTTTCAAGCTCTTGGATAAAATGCAAGTCTTCGTCACTGCCACCAGCGCTTCGTGAGAGGTAGACCAAGTGACGAGCGTTATTCTCAACCATCCAACGGGAGACAGCACGACCAAGACCGCCGAGACCACCGACAAGTATGTATGAGGCTGAATCATCGAGCCGAACCGCCTGCTTCCTGGTTATGATACTGGTGTCGATGTTGAGAGCATCCGCCGAGTCTCGAACCGAGATGACGATCTTGCCCATGTGCAGGCCTTGCTGCATGTAGCGGAATGCTTCTCGGACTTTGGATGCGCTAAAAACTTCGATTGGCTTGATAGGGAGAATGTGACCATTCTCGTAGCATTCAACCACAGACTTCAACAGCCTGAATAGTTGTTAGCGACAGAGTCGTACATTCAGACGGGGGAAATGCTCACTCTTTGCACAGAGCCTGTCTTTTGGAACAAATCTGGTCAAGATCCACGCAACAGTACGATCTGTTGGCCAAGAAGACACTCATATCAAGCTTACCGGACCCCAGAAGGTCTCTCTTCCCGATCTCGACCATGGTACCGAACTCGGCAACGCATCGCCACGTGGCGTGGAGCAAGTCACCCGAGAGCGAGTTTAGAACGACGTCGATCCCCCTGCCATGGGTTGCACCGGCAATTCCTTCAACAAAGGAGCTGTTTCGGGAGTTGAAAATACGGTTCCGGGGAATGTCAAAAGTTTCCGTCAAGTATTTGACCTTCTCCTCGTTGCCTACCGTGACGTAGATATCCGCACCGGCCATGCGAGCCAGTTGAATCGCGGCGATGCCCACGCCGCCACAAGCACTGTGGATCAAGACAGACTATGTGATCAATGTTAGTGACTGTCGCCAGATAACTCGAACTGCTATTCGTGGGACTAACCTTTCCGCGCTGGAGTCGCCCGACGTGAAAGAGTGCGTACATAGCGGTGGCATACACGCAAGGCATGGTCGCAGCGTCTTCGAGGGACAAGCTAGGAGGAATCTTTTGACAGAGATTCTCGGGGATTGTAACAGATGTCGAGAACGAGCCTCGGCTAAAGAGGAAGACTCGGTCTCCGACATTAAGTCCCTGAACCTCGGGCCCAACGGCAGAGACAACTCCTGCGGCCTCAAGACCGAACCCTTCCTCGGGGATTTCGACTATTCCATTGGCACTCAAGACGTCCTATTAATCATAACTTTAGTAAGGATGCTGCTATGCTGGGGGGAGCTGTACGGTCTTATTTACCCTAAAGTTCAAGCCGGCGGCATATGTTTGCACTTCAACCAGGTCTTTTTCGAGCCTTTGGGTTTCGCGGCGAGCCCACGTTAGACTAGCCAGAATACCAGGTTTCTTCGTTTCGAGAACTACTCTTCCGCCTTCGTCTGCAGAAAGAAGTTCATTTTCGAGAGAAAATGGAGAGAAGCGTCCCACTTGGACCATCTTGTCGACAATAGAGTATTCGTAGTCCGGGTCCACCTCGTTGTCACTATCGGCAACGGCGCAGGTCTTTTGAAAACTTTGGAATACATCAACGATGCGGCCGGCAGAAGACTCGAAATCGTCAACCTCACAGGTGGCGAAGCGGATCGACAGTTCGGACCGCAACGTGCGAGCCGTGCCGAGGACTTGAGCAAAGGATGGGTCTTCACATGCCATTTGAGATAGCCGAGTTATCCAGAACAAGCGTGCACCACCGGTGCTGACTGTTTCTATGAGTTTTTTGAAAGCGCCATAGCGGAATTGGTCCAGGTCGTCGAAAAAGGATTGACAGTGGTCCATGTCCATGACTGCGATCACGTCTTCGTGGATCGGAACTTCATCACCCAGAGCGCGTTTGTTGACTTTGTACCCAGCAGCTTCCAAGAAAGTTACCAATGAGCTCGAGGTGTCGCTCTGGGCAGTTTTGAGATATGTAATGGTGCTGGGTGGAGCGGACAACTCGGTCTCGACATGATCTAAGGCTTTAGCAACCATGAAGTTGTTACGTTGCAGGTAGTTTTGCCCCGAATCAGCCAAACTCGCAGACACGCCAAGTCCGGCGCTCTTCAGGGCATTCTCCCAATAGCTTGCGTTGGCATAAGGCTCATTGGCATGCCCGGCCGTCTCGCCAGCCCACCACCAAGGCAAGAGGCCGAGAATTATATTCATCCACTTTGAGGAAGAGAAAAACTCGGTGAGAAGAAGGCGTCCATTAGGCCGGAGCAGCTTGCGGATATTCAAGAGACCCTCATCCCGCATCTCTAATGGATGTAGTACGTTGGTAGCAACAATGACGTCGTATTGGTCTCCATTGAAGTTTTGCTCCGAAAGATCGCGACTGATGTCCAGCGTCGAGAACTGCATGTTGGGGATCGACTTGAACTGCTCCTTGGCGGCGCTCACCATACCCGAAGAAGAATCACTGAAAGTGTATGCCGAGTACATGACTCGTCCATCCTCCTGTGTCAGGCTCTTCAGTATCTGGCTGGTGTGAGCACCTGTGTCCCCTCCGAGTTCCAGAATTCTGAGATTGGGTTTGGCGTGTATTAGCTGCTGGATCAGCGGCGACATGTCGAAGCCCGTGTCGCGAAGCTTGTTCACCTGGTCTAGGATGTTGTCCTCAATGAGCAACCCCAGGGGGTTGTCTTGGCCTTGGAAGACGGAGGTGATGCGTCCGGCTACCTTGATGATGGCTGCGGCTGCACCTGCAGCGGGCGTGTCTTGCAGACTGATAGCCTTGTCCTCCATACACTTTAGCAGGTCACTACCTCCTGTGATGTGGTCTTTTGCCGCCGCTTGAACATTGATCCACTCGTGATATTTCTTCAAGTGGGAAACCGGCGTCTGGAAGCCTTCGAGCTGCGATTGCGTGTATGCAATGAAAGTTTGCGTGATATCTTCCAAAACGCTCATATACGTAGAGCGCTGGTCTTCAGTCTCTGTCCTTCTGACAAGGCTAGCTTCGTCCCTGAAGTCGACGTGGGGGGCCCATAGATACCGAGCAGTAGGATATGTGTCTTTGTCGTCGGAAGATGTCTCTTGGCCAGGGAGCGGCGACAAACAAGCGCCTTTCATCTGCAGAACGGCCTCTCCAGCAGAGTTGACACATTCAGCTGAGCCGACAATAGCGCCAATGCCATTGACACTGGCTGCAGCCGAGATGTTGACATCGGATTGGCATCTGTAAACTTTGATTTCCTCGATACGGGTAGGAATCACCATGCCATGCTTCTTGGTGTACCCCTTTGTAGCGGCTAAGCTCAGGATTTGCAAGCAAGCATCTACGATAATCGGATGCAAATGGTGGCGATCCATCTTGCTCGTAGATTCGATGTCGAACTTGGGGCGATACACTGTGGCCGCTGCCGTTGGTTCAATAGTACCAGTCTTGATTTCTTGCAGGGCTTGGAAGTTTGGTCCGTAACAGAGCCCGGCTTGCTGCATCATATTGTACGCCTTTCGAGACGCTACTTTCCGAGCCATCTCAGGAACTGGTTTGCCAGCGTTGTTGTCGCCATGTTCTAGGGCCCTTACCTGACCGACGCAATGTTTGGTCCAAGCCGCGCCGTTGTGCGACGCGATGCTGAACTCCCACCACTGGCTATCGAGAGTGTCAGTGAGGCGGTTAGGTCGGAGGGTTGTGATGAGTTCGACAGGTTTATCATCTGTGACAACAAGTGCGGTACTGACAACGACTGATCGAAGGGCATAGCCATCTTCAATGCCGCTGACCTGTCTTACCGCTTCAGCAGCCATGCCAATGTAACCGGCAAAGGGGAAGACGATGTCTTCGACGATGACGTGATCGCGCATCCAGGGCGAGTGCTCGAGATGGAACACATTTCGCCATGACGGCTCAATGTCGGTGCTCTCGCCAGTCCGCAGACCAAGAAGCTCATGATAAGGGAATTTGCGGTGACGCCATTCCTTGGAAAGCCTGGATTCGTACCAGTAGCTTTGCTCGTGGTCCCAGGAGTACCTGGGGAGGTCTGGAAGGTATGTCAGTTTCGCGTCTCTCGACGCCAAACTCTGAAAGTCGATGGAGGCGCCTTGCTGGTGAAGCTTTCCGATGGCTGTGAGGTAGCTCTCGACGCAGTCCTGATTCCGCATCATGGAAGAAATGTATGGAAAAGACACTGAAGCCTTGGCCATTATTTGACGCAGAGGGCCTCCCATTGCCCCATGGGGACCTACTTCCAAAAGTACTGGCTTGCCGAGTTCAGTATTCTGGAAGATCTTGGACGCGGCTGTCGCAAACAGCACAGGGTTCTCAAGGTTGCTCTGCCAATACCAAGGACCAAGTGTCTGTCCTTCCTCCAGCAGGTCACCGCTGACACTGCTGTAAAAGAGACAATCCTTTCTGGGCACCCGTCCTTCGACACTTTGTATGAGGGACTTGTACTGCTCCCCAACCTCGGCCATGTGGTATGAGTGATACGCTTTATCAACCTTCAAGAGCCGTGCCAGAACCTCCTGTCCATTGGGCGGAGATGTCTTAATTTTGTTGACTACGGCCTCGACAGCCGCGGCATCTCCAGAAATAGTGACGCTGCTTGGTGAATTCTCGCAGGCCACAGTCGCAGTGGTGCCCTTGAGATACGGCTTGACATCGTCCCAGCCGAGGCCGATAGCCGCCATGGCACCGGCCCGTTTCTGTAGCTTTGCCACGGCACCGCGTTGGAAAGCAACAAGAATGGCCTCTTCAGCAGTCAGAGCGCCAGAAGCATAAGCTGCAGCAATCTCGCCACTGGAATGCCCAACCACTGCAGCCGGTTTGATGCCAATGGAAGCCAAAGTCTCGACCAGACCGAGCTGGACAGCGGTGCAGAGAGGCTGGGAAACCTCTGCTAACTCGATGCGGCTTTTCTTGCCTCTTTGGAGCAGTTCTCTCTCGAGGCTGAACTCCGTACTTCCCAGAACTCTCTGCAAATAACTGTCAAGCTTGCGGATTGTTGCTTGGAACACGGAGTTATCTTGCTGGAGCAGCTCGCTGCCCATGGCGGGCCATTGGGCCCCTTGACCGGTAAACACCATGACCACCTTGGGGCTCTGCTGGGGTATCCTAGACGAAGGCGACAGTACAATGTTGCTACCCTTGCTAGCGACAGCAAAGGCTCGGTAGGAATGATGTTCCCTGCCGTTCGCCAGTGTGTAGGCGATTCTGTCCAACTTATCATTGTTGTTCTGAATGAAGGCTTGATAGGCCTCAATCATCTTCTGGAGAGACTCTGACGAGTTGGCAGAAAATAGCAGGAGCTGCGGCTCGCCAGTGTCGACGGTTGGTTGAGCAGGCTTGATGCCGTGAGCACTGGCTGACTCGAGGATTGCATGAGCATTCGTGCCACCAATCCCGAAGGAATTGACACTGGCCCTCTCGTAGCCGTGCTCGGGCCAAGGAGTAGGCTCGATGGCAACAGTGAGATTACGCTCCTTGAAAGGGATATTGGGGTTAGGCGTGGTGAACTTGATGTTTGGGGGTATCGTGCGGTGTTCCAGGGCCATGACCGTCTTGATAAGGGAAGTCAAGCCGGAAGCTCCTTCGGAGTGCCCAAGGTTAGGCTTTACAGAGCCAATATAAGGGCCGCGCTCTGGACCACCAAACACACGAGCAACAGCATTGGCCTCGATTGGGTCACCGATGGGTGTTCCGGTACCATGGCACTCGACAAAAGTCGTGTCAGAGAAGTCAGTGATACCAGCATGCGCATATGCCTGGCGAATTCTGGAGAAGCACCATTAGTTTTACATTGGAACAGATACAGAAATACAGGATGCCTTTTCCTTCTGGTAGAGTACAGGCATCACAAAAACAGGTAATACTAACAAAGCTTCATGAGCCTCAGTACTGGGCAGAGAGATACCGTTGGTTCTACCATCAAACTGGAGGCGAGGTTAGCCATAGAAGAAAAGCGATGCGTGACAGTACCCACGTTTGTAGCGGTTCCTTTGATAACGGCTCGGATCGGGTTTCTATCTCTTATAGCAGCCTCCAGAGGCTTGAGATAGACGGCACAGACAGCCTCGCCGCGACCGTATCCATTGGCATCAGCTGAGAATGTCTTGCAGGAGCCATCTGGAGAGAGAACACCCTGCTCTGTCATTGCCTGCGTCATACCGGGAGCCAGAATGAGATTTACACCGCCGACAATAGCAGATGTGCAATCACCCCTCTGGATAGCTGTGCATGCCTCGTGCAGACCAACAAGAGCTGCAGAGCATCCAGTGCGAAGAGTCATGCTTGAGAGGTCTTAGTTAGTCTATGATATGTGTACAATTAGAAGGGATCGGGGGTGGGCAACATACCTTGGTCCTTTGAGATCCATTTCATAGGCAACATTGTTAGACAGCATGAAGTCTCCGTATCCCGCGACACGGTAAAGACCATGTTGTTGAACATCCTTGGCAAACATTTCGCACCAATCCTCGCCAAAGCTTCCGACATAGCAACCGATCAGGCCACCTCGATAGTTCGTCTCGCCAGCATCTTCGATACACTCTCTGGCTACCTCTGTCATCTGGCGTTGATGGGGGTCTTCTCTCTCGGTAGCTCCCCGCACAAAGCTCGAAAACCCTCCATCGCTTTTGCTGATATCGTAGTCGAGAAAGTAGCCATACTCCGTCTTGACTGTTCCTGGCCTTCCTGAAGTGTCGTAAAAAGCGTCAACGTTGTATCGGGATTCGGGGACACGTGATCGAGCATCTCCCTTGGCAAGGAGGAAGTCCCACAACTGCTGCGGTGTATGGAGACCGCCAGGAAGACGGCAAGCCATACCACAGATGGCAATTGGCTGGTCGTGGCGAGCTGAGGAGGAGCCGTGAGAGCCGTTGCCAACTCCACCAGGGAATGAGCGTCCGTTCGCCTTGTTTTCGTGCCCATTGGCTATTACATTTCTATTGGCAGATGCATGTGCATCGGTCGCGGATTCGTGGCCAGTTGCGTGGCCATTGACAGACACAGGTCCGCCATGCAGGTCATGGACGTTGATGCCATTGGCACCATTGGTGTCGTTCGAGTCGATTATCACTCCTGGGGCCATTTTGAAAGGACTTGGAAACAAAAGGGTCCACTGACAATGTTGATGTGTGGTATTTCGGAGGTTGGGGTGTCACTTTTACATGCAACACAACATGATGCCGTGGAGTTCTGGTCTTATACACGACAATGACTTTCCATACCATGTTTGGCTTGCCCTTTCTCTCGTGATTATCTTCCATCTCAGACACATTCCCGCTACGTGGGACATGAAATCGCCGAACACAGGTCGGTGCTTGAAGTCCATGTCGCCGTGGACGAGTTCACGGGATCCTTCCCGATCCTCTTTCTTGTACCCGGGTTCCGGAAGAGGCAGATAGCCTTTCCTGCGGGCGTTCATGTTCACGGTTTGGGTCCAGGCGAACGTTTGACTTGGCACCTGATGGGATGCTGATGCTGTGTAATGCTAACTAGCGACCTGCACCAGGTTTCGTCAGGGACTTCAGGTAGCAGTTAGTATGGTAGGAGTCGTTCAACTCAGAGAACGGGGACGGAACCCGACGGCTATACCCGCTGTGGAAGCTTAGATAGTTCGAGGTAGCGGGGTTGCCGAACAAGAATAATACCTAGTGTAGATCATCGCGGATTGACACCGATCCGCTTAAAGCGGGTCATATTTCGGAGTCCGTAGGCCCAGCCAGGGTAATCTAAGCGCCAAGCTGCACCGGACGCGGAACATTCGGATAGACAACAAAGTGGTGTCAGATTTGTAAGGTATGTGATGTCACGGCCAGGGTGGCAATTGCTACAAAGCAACCGCTGTAAGCGCCAAGTTGTGAAGGATTGTGAGTAGACCTCAGTGAATGTGCCAAGGAATGGGAAAGGTTCCTCTTACAGAAAAAGGGAAGAGCCTGCATTTCTGCCAAGTGTGGCTAAGATAATCCAGTATAGGTAGACGCATGCAACGGCTCCAATCTTGTTTTACGGTCGCCAAGCTTCGGCCTTGTCCAGTCCAAGGAAGGGAGATTGTTACAAAGCAAGTGGTCAGAGTACGAAACTCAGCGAGGCATAACCGTCTGAGAATATCTTAGGAAGAGTAGGCATGTTTATCTTGGGGCAGTTGAATGGCTTCGACAGCAAGCACTGTCGCATAACTAGCAGAGCTATAGACCAACTACCAAATGCATTTTCCACCACCCGCCTTTTCGTTTCTATCAGCAACGGAGCCAGGTTGTGCTGCCCTACATATTTCGCAAACATCAATCTTATTGTATAGAACTTCAAACGTTTCCTTGTAAGACGGAGGAGGTACTGTGTACTTAAATTCTCAAATAGCCGTGAGCATTGACATGGGCAAACGCTCACCATTGTGTTGCGTTGTCGTATTGCCGAGTCTCTGGTTTTACTTCATCTATCTATCCATGATTTTGCCCCCAGGTTCGTGATGTCCCCCACGGCGGTGATGCCGATGGGGATGGAACCGAGCCGGCTATGAGAACATAACCTGCCTTGCATAGGCTATTTCGAAAACATTCGACTACCACCAAAGTCCCTTCCATTCATCATACCCATGTCGTGATGGATTTGGATCACTTGGTTTGGCACGAAGGCCCAGTTAGGCAGGTAAGTGCGCCGGGCCCACACATCAAGCGCAAATATGCCAATTGTTATGATTCAGCTCCTTGCTCTATGTAGGAAACCAGCTGAATGGTAACCTTTGCTCGACATCTTCGTTGCCTTATCATGGCCGTCGTATCGTGCAGGCAGGCAGCATAGGGCTACGGGCGGGCCAGCTTGGCATCTTACCTTGATTGGACCCAAGCGTATATAAGTGTCCACACTTCTGCACATTCTATTAGCTGCACCATTTCTTGTCTGCTTGGCCAACTACTCCTACGGGTCAGAAAATTGCGCGGGATGTCTGTCGACAATGCCTTTGAAGGGATTGTACCAAGAGTTAAGCCAAGCAACTACAGCCCGCACGGAATCCTCCTGCTGAGGTTTTGTGCCTACAACATTTCCTGTACATACATAACTATTTGAGGACGATGCAGGCCGTAGTAAAAGCTCAAGGGAGACGGCTTCTGCTATAAGAGTCAGGGTGCAGAGGTCCCGATTCCACCGGGTTGTACCAGCCTTTGGTCTCCCAAGCTTTTGATGCGACTGAACAAGCGGTGAATTGTAATACTTGGCGTATTATTGTTTACTTGGGCAATGTACAAGTCCTGATAGGTCGTCATCATGTCACAAAAAAAACGGTCTCGCGATGGCCCCAGCGAGGTAAGTGATGCCGAGACCCCGCGTCCCCGCATCCGCAAACACAAGCGTTCGCATTCGTTAACAAAAGTCTCGGCGGACAAGCAGGACTCGTCGTCGGAGACCAGAGACCACTTAGGTATGTGATTCATTGCACACAGACACCTCGCTTCGTCGCCAACAGCAGCCAATGACGTGTATAAATCAAAAGCTTGTGATCAGTGTCGACTCAAAAAGATCCGCTGCGGTAAAGAGCGTCCCAATTGTTCCAACTGCGAAAGAATGAATCTGGACTGTAACTGGTCTGGGCAAGGCAAGAAACCTAATCAGACGGTTGCACTGTGAGTAACTTACTTGGCAAGAATCTTTTACTTGGGGTGATGAGCGTTCGCAATTGTGTTGTAATGTCGATGCTACGTGCCTCGCTCACCCATCGTTATCCTTGGGTGTCATACCAAGACCCTGCTTGCGAATGGCATTCTACCGATATCGAATGGGATTACACCTTTTGGGTGCTGGTGGTCAATTGGCTAACTCAATGTTATCCAGGAACAAGTCGATCTCAACAATGGGTGATCGCCTTCGGCGCATTGAAGGAAATATTTCTGGAATACAACAATCACTTCAGCGGTTAGACTCAGTCGTGAGAAGCAGATCTGGATTCCTAGGTCTTGAGGACATGATTTCGTTGCCGCCGGATGGAACCGGCAGCTCTTCAGAGGCTGGATCCAACCAAGGCGGTTGCGGCACCAGCAGCAGTTCCACGTCCGATATATCCACGGTTAAGTTCGACGTCATACATGATGCGCAGGGGAATGAGCGCTGCGTTGGTCCGACATCTCTGTTGTCCCTGATTCACAACATTGATGAGGTTTCAATGCCAGATCCCGAAGGAACCGGAAGCAACAACGCCACAGTACGCGAGAAGATCAAAGAGCTCGGGTACAACACAAGGCAGCCACTGTTCTCCAACACAAATGATGGATCCATGATCAAAGAACCTCCGATGTTGATCGTCGAGTCGTTAATGGATCACTATTTCGATGTAATCAACCCTCACTTTCCGATCTGGACCAAAGATGGCTTCCGCCGCTTGATGAATGTTTCACGGCGGGAGTCAAGCCCCGCATCGAACAAGCCATTCGTCGTCTGCGCCAACAACATGGTGCTCCTAACCCTGATGGCCAAGGCGCTGCATTCTCGGGCGAAAAACAGTTCGGCATCAAATCTTGACCTGACAATAGAGTCCATCGACGTCGAACTCGTCCAATCGTTCATTGAAAATGCAAACCGGGCGATGGTACGAGTGGAGCAGCTACTGAGTCCTCGATTAGTCAACGTTCAGGCTCTCTTATCTTTGGTATGTTGAAAAATTTCTTTTTCTCCGTGCTCCTACGGGAATGGCTGTGTACTTGGCTAATTTGTAAATAGTGCTATGTGTCTCAAATGTGTCTTTGCGAAGACGTTTCGAATCTCACGTTGACGCTGGCCGCGCATGTGGCCAAGTCGATGGGCTTGTATCAGACTCAAACATCATCACTGTCACCATCAAAATTTAGCCCGGAGGAAATATTGGAACGACAAAATGTTCTCAAGTGTCTCTACTATCTCGACAAAGCCATCTGCTGGAATGTTGGTTCGCCGCCCAGCGTCCCCTTCAATGCGATATCAACGACGACTGCGATGACGAGACTCCCAGGTGAAGGCCCCTCGCTTATGGACGCCAAGTTCGTATTGGCACAGATCGAGGATGACATATACAGACTCCTCTATCCGGACACCACGGGCCAGATCAACATCACCACGAAGGCCATCAAGGCAAAACTTGGAAATTGGAGAGTAACCTGCCACCTTGACGCAGAAGATTCCGAGAAGGCCGACCATCAGTTTCCGTTCTCCTCAAGGCTGGAGCTGGACATTTTATTTCACTATGCGCGAATGCGACTCATGTGGCCATCAGTGGGTGATCCAGACGCCAAGACCTCTCTTATTCAAGACTGTCAGACCAGCTTGCTTTTGCTGCAACAGCTGTGGAACAATACGTCAAAACATGACCAACACCACAGCTTCGCATGGTACTTTCTTTCCGGCAATGACAAGAGACACGTCTGGAAAGCTAATTAGCCACCCGTAGGCTTGTCGCATCTTTTCCTGCGAACGCGGTTTTTCAATTCGCCAGTCAATTTGAAAATTCCGAGACCTTGCAGTCTGCAGCGGCTAATTTGGAACTGTTGAGCTTCCTGTTGACCTCGCTGCAAAACATGTCTACATTCGCAACCAAGAACTCGTATGTGGTCAGGTTCTGCAGTTTTGTTCAGATTCTAGTACACCTTGCCCACAACATCCTGAACAGCAAAGCCTCTGGATCTCCTGAACAATCAACGCTGCCAAACTTGTATCTACTAGAGGGTCGCTCGCAAGATCGTCACGGAAACGGGCCAATGTATAGGTACGACGGGGAGGATGGGGGTGCCGAGTTGGATGCCTTTATGCAGGAAAAGTCATTTTTGCATCAGGATCTAGACACTTTTATGGCCATGTGGGGGAGCGGTGCCAACTCCTTCGCGGCCCTTTCTAGGGACAACGACGCCATAACGATGGACGGGATTCCAGCTTGCGAAGAAAGGGGATTGTGGGATGACTTCAACCTCGCAGACAACCTCAATCATATGCGAGACTGTGAGATGGAGCCACCTTACTCGGGAGACTAGCTCATTAGAGACGGTGCCAGGGAAGGCATTTGTACTTACCTCAGGTCAGAGACGCAGAGTATTCTGAATTAAAACGTACTGCTCCGGTGATGGAGTTGGAGATTGCCGATGAAGACGGTTTGCGCAAGCCAATATACTTACTTAAGTCATATACGCAGAGAAAGCGGAGGAGAAAACGGTGCTGATTAAACTCCGTTATCATGAGTATGTTGCTTCGACCCACGTGATGAGGCGTCTCATGGTCAAGAAATATCATTTAACAAGTTATCAGCCTGCTGCAATCGATTCCTCTCAGTCACTGGAAGTGTCCCTTGGCATCAACGTGCTACATACGGACAAAAGCCCCGTCCCAGGAGGGAATGCAACTTGATAGTAGTTAGGCGCCGAAAGGGGGCTCATATGACACTTTGATTTTAAGTTTGCACATTATTGTGGCTTTTACATTGTTGCTATTGCTAAAACACAACGGGAGAGCAAGCTCAAAGCACAAATGTTTCTATTTATAACCAACCAGACAACAAATTAAAGTGTAATAGCAACGTGACATGTATGTAGGCGTCAAATAATAGAGATACTGTTGTATAGCGGCTATTCTAGACCGTTGCCTTCAACAACTATCTCATAAGGCATCTCCGTAAGATGGAACGAAGCTTTAAGTTTAGCGCAAAGAGAGAGAAAAACCAACTGCGCCGAGTCTCATCACCACGCTCAGAGATCCCCACAACTCAAATACAAATCAAGGCCACTCGAGTTAATCACCACAAGGGAGTGAAAATGCCCACCCCAGTTCAAATTCTGCGGTTCGAATACGTATAATGCCGACATTTAAGACGCCGATTAACACTCGACAGAGTACTGGTCAAAACGTGGTGTCAAAGAGGTGATCTTGTAGACCTGCTGAGCAGCGGTGGGAAGGGCTCCCTCCTTGCCAGTTTTCTTGATTTCAAGCATCTCCGTTGCCCATTCGCAGATTGCATTGGCCAGGCCTACTACCTGATCATCCGTGATGCTGGCATGAAACGCGATGCGAACGCGGTTGGTGCCCTTCGGCACTGCTGGCGGGTCAACGGGGAAGGCCCAGAATCGTAGCAGCTGCAGGTGGATCGAGAGAAAATAGTTATGGCGCGGCTGCGTAAGCACAGCAACGATGTGGGACAGTATCGACTGCGACTCCCACTCGTCCGCTAGCGGTATATCGATGATGCCGGCATCTCTCACTTCCTTGTAGTATGAGTTGCTCGTGATGCTCTTGTAGAAGAGGCGTATATGCGCGTTGAGGCGCTTTCGAGCCTGTCAATGTGATTAGATAACAGGCTTTCCTTTAGAATATGAATAAACCCACAAGCTCTGTTTCTCCCGTTTTGAGTAGCCGGTAAGCTGCTTTAATGGCAGCCAAGGTGGGAAACGAAGCAGCCGTCGTGAAGCAAATCGGCCGAGCGTGGTTGACTAGCATCGTCCTCACAGTATCATTGCAGAGAATGGCAGCTAGGTGTAAAAGTCAACCAAAGGCCCGCATTTAAGATAGGGACTTATCAAACCTACCACCAGATGCCCCCAAAGCCTTAGAAAAGGTATGGAGGCGGATCGCGACGGCCTTTTGAAGGCCAAGCGCGGAGACAAGACCAGCTCCTTTTTCACCAATGACCCCAGTGGCATGTGCCTCATCGACAATGAACTGGAAGTTGCCATGCGGCAATACCTCCTTAGCAGCCTCGATCATGTCCCCCAGCGGGCAGATATCGCCGTCCATACTGTAGACGGTCTCCACGGCGACGAGTACGCTGCGCTGCCCGCGCTGGATGAGCGGATGTGCCTCGAGCACCATCTCCATGGAATCGCGGAAGGAGTCGACATCGTTGTGTCGAAACGATTTCTTGATCTCGGTCATGCAACGAGACATACCTTCGTGCGCGCTCGCGTGTACCAACTCGTCGTAAACGATAGCGTCGCCGGGGCGCGGAATTGACGAGAAGATAGCGCTGTTGCCCTCGAACCCTGAGTTCACGATAAGACCGCGCTCCGCGCCGTGGAACTCAGCAATCTCGGCTTCCAGCTCCTCAAAATAATCGTTGTTGCCATCCAGGAGGCGCGAGCCCGTGCTGCCGACGGGAAAGTTTGGGAAGCGACCTAGCTCTTCAAGAAAAGCCTCACGCAACTGTCCGGACGTGGCCAGGGATAGGAAGTCATTGGAGGAGAAGTCGATGTTGTCTTTGCGCTTGCGCAGGGTGATGAGGTTATGCTGGCTGCGCCGAAGGTCGAGAGCCTCTTCAAGGTTGCGGTAGAAGGTGCCTTTTGTTTTGGGTGCTCTCAACTCCTGAGCCTGATTCCATTCGGCAATCTGTGAGAAGACTGACTCGTCTGCCGTTGCGTTCATCTTGCTTATGCACGTCGAAGCCAAGGGTGTCAGGAAAGGTCTGCTTTGCACGCTGGCTTGCTGTTCAGGACAGTAACAAGGAGATGGTGTACCTAAACGATGGCTTTATACTGCTTGCTCAACTAATTGTACTGTCATGAACTGTCTGTAATCAAGCGTGTCCCGACGTTTTGAGTTCGGTGTCGGGAATCCGTGGCCGGGCTCCGGAATCCACGACAATCACTGGGCACTGATGGACAGGGGGGGGGGGGGGGGGGGGGGGGGGAGGACAGAATGCCGGTCTAACACCGAGTGTGAAGGATATACGTCAGATATCTCGGTTTTGAACATGCCTTCACTAGATGTTGATAGTCAAGGCTGCTGGTTCAAGTCAGGCTCACATGACGAAAGACTTTTCAAGTGGCAGCATCTGGCTCGGGTATGGAAAGAAATACTATCTTATCGAGTCGCAGTCTAAGCACTTACTTTGTAAATTGAGTCCCAATATTCATGGATATGATAGACTAAAGGTTTTCCAAGAAGGCAGATTAACATTTGTACATGAAGATGGTTTCTCGTGTTGAAGTATCACTGGTAATCTATACGCGTCTATCACACTTGAGGTCTCCTTCGTGAAATTCGCCGTCGGTCATTCAAGCTAACTACTTCATGTCGGCATTGCTTAGCTCATCCACAATAGTCATATACCAGGCGCGCTTTGACGCTCTTCCCGCTCTTCTCGGTGATGCTAGACTGAGTGAAGCGTCTTTCTCCGCCGATATTTTCTACGGCCCAAGTTGTCAAAGTCGACCAACCACCCCTCTTGCTGGTGCTAAACTCTTCAATAACCTCTTCAACACCGCCATCGCGGAGCCTCTTTGCCAATTCCTTGTCCCGGCCCTCTTCGATAGGGACGAACTTGACCATGGTCACGAGGGCTCCAAATGCCTGCGTTTTCTGGTCGCGTTCAACACCGTCCAGCAGGTAGATGTCCTCGCTCTTGAAATTTCCCGGGGTCACTATCTGCTCTTGGCACAACTGGTAGATCACTGAGGCACCAGGTTCTGGAGATGCCAGGCTGTTCTGCGTGATGGTCAGGCTTATGCCCCCAGACGTCAGGACTTTTCGGGTGATCCAGCTAAGACCTTGCTGGTAACGATGCGATTGTTAACAAAAAAGGTTCTGCCACCCAGATATCTATTGTCGAAGACTAACCGCTCCTAGAGTCTCTGACAGGTCGTCTGATAAGGATCTGTTCTAGGTCTATGGATCAGCCCCTAGAGGGAGAGAACAGTGGGTGTTGGTCAGCATACCACAGTCCAGGTTCCATTGAGGTCGCGAATGGTTTTAGAGTCGGGAGCCGTCATTTTTTATTCAAGTCCCTTGATTATGAAGGAAAAGAAAACTTGCAATGTTGAATAATTGTGCACCCACCACGAGCACTGATTTCGTGTTCGACTTATAAGGAATTTGTGTTGTGGCGCTGGGCTTATTGAAAACGGAGATGCGAATATTGACAAGCGGCACTAGCAGGTCCAGAGTACTAGGAAATTCCAACAGAATAACAATTTCATCACGTTCCCGGCAAGCTTTTCGCTTACTGACAGTCTTGCTGGCTGTTGTTTTCGCATACCGGATCCCGGCCTTCAATCCTTCCCGAGCCGGGGTCCGGATTCCGTCCTCCGGTCCGGCTATGACAGGCATGGCTCATATGCCGATCTATCTTTCATGGCTCATCCGTCGAACGTTTATCGAACGAGAAAGTTTTCCCGTATGCTGTCTTTGTTTCGCTCTTATAACATGAGTTTCCATGATGCCCGTCTAACATCTACATGTATGTTGCGGTCTACTACGAATGAGTTGGTCTAAATCACAATGGATTGCCCTTCAAAGCCTTCTACACGTCACTCACCCCAAGTCTCGTGGCTCCAATGGATCACTCAATTCATATGGAAGGCCAACAAGGGCTACGAAGAAATGCTCGACGGCATTGTCCCTATTCCCGGGCCACCGCGTAAGAGGCCTAGTATTACCGTGCCATGAGTTTTCGCGCTGAAGAGAATTAGCGGTGCCTCTAATCGGCAGTGTCTTCGATGTTGACATAAACGACACTTTGAAGTCTGTCATTGAACTGATGAAAGTTTACGGTCAGCGACTCGCAGCCAATTCAAACAAGTGCATGGCTCACGAAGAGAATAGGACCAATCATTCAACTATACACCGGCTCGCAGCGGGAGATAATCGTCGGTTCGCAGGAGTTGGCGAATGAACTGAGCGACGAGAGTCGCTTCTGCAAGGTTGTTTACGGAGCCCTCCATCATCTGAGAGACGCAGGCGGAGATGGGCTGTTCACAGCTCAACACGGTAACCATGAGTGGGGGGTCGCACACCGCATTCTGCTCCCAAACTTCAGTCCAATTAAGGTCCACGAGATGTTTGACGGCATGACCGATATCATAGAGCAGTTGGCTCTCAAATGGCAAGCATCGAGTCTGCTCCACCGAGCCCTTGCAAACAAAAAACACTAACATTGGCGACAGGGCACGGCACGGTCCTGATGCCGCCATCGATGTAGTCGACGACTTCACTCGACTCACAGTAGATACAATCACTCTCTGCGCCATGGGATACAGACTTAACAGCTTCTACCTCAATGACGACATGCATCTGTACGTGAAGAGTCTTTCCAAGGTTCTCATTGAATCGGACAAGAAGGCGCAATTTCCTGCCGTCATCAACAAGTTACGCTACAAGGCAGATGCCGAATACAGAGCCAACATCCAAGCTATGGCTGACATTTGCCGCGATATCATACGGAAAAGGCGAGCCGCCGGGCCAGGGCAAGGTTCAAAGCTCCTATTGGATCTCATGATTCAAGGCGTTGACCCAAAGACGGGTGACAGGCTCAGCGAGGACGCCATCATGTGGAATCTGCACACGTTCCTCATTGCCGGCCACGACACCACGTCGGGGCTCTTGTCATTTGCTTTTTACTTTTTACTGAAGGACCCTAGTGCGATGCGTAAGGCCCGAGAAGAGGTCGACGCAGTCCTCGCCGAGGGCGAGGTGATGACGGTGAAGCATCTCCAAAAGCTGCGGTATCTCGATGCCGTCCTGAAGGAGACCATCCGCATGCACGCACCCGCACCGGGCTTCCACGTCAGGCCGCTGAAAGACGGAGAGGTGCTCGGTGGCAAGTACGTCGTCAACAAATCGGACCCCATCGTCATCGTCCTCCACCAGCTGCACAGGGATCCCGCAGTCTGGGGCGAGGACGCGGACGAGTTTAGGCCCGAGCGGATGGAGCGTGACAAGTTCAGTAATCTGCCGCCCAACGCGTGGAAGCCTTTCGGTAACGGTGCGAGGTCCTGCATAGGAAGGGCTTTTGCTTGGCAGGAGGCTCTGATGGTGCGTGTGTGCCGGAACAAACAGTTTTTCTCTCTTACATGTTCTCTCACTGACGTGGTAAGCCAGGTCATGGCAACGCTGCTCCAACACTTTGACTTTGAAATGGATGATCCAAGTTACACGCTCAAGGTTGAGCAGACCTTGACGATCAAGCCGGAAGGCTTCAAGATGAGAGCTCGGCTGCGTCACGACAAAAAGCCGGGGGATCTGTTCCGACACGAGACTGTTTCAGCAACCCGAAAAAACACGACTCCTGGAGGCCGAAACACCAAGATTGACGCTATCTCAGGCCACCCCATGACTATCCTATATGGTTCCAACACAGGCACGGGCGAGGCACTAGCTCGTTGGCTGGCCGAAGGCGCAAGCGCGGCTGGGTTTAAGGCAGATACTGTCGTGGAAATGAACGCGGCCAAGGACAAGCTGCCTAAGGATCAGCCAATTATCATAATTGCGGCCTCGTACAATGGACATCCATCCGATAATGCAGATGAATTCATCGATTGGCTGGGACAACTGCCCTCGGGGGCCCTTGAGGGCGTTGGATTTTGCGTCTTTGGCCTCGGTATGGTTCCGGGTTTACGAGCTCTCTTGGTTATGCCCCGCTGATTGAGACATAGGTCACCACGATTGGCCAGCCACGCATAACAGAGTGCCTAAGATGGTCGATGAGCTAATGTACAAAGCCGGAGCTTCGAGATTGATAGAAGCCGAATACGCCGACATGGCAACGGCAGACCTGTTCCCGGACGCCGAAAGATGGTCTACGGAGCGCTTATGGCCAGCATTGGGAGAAAAGTATAGCGTGAAGCCGGCGTACGTGCAAGACATGAATCTCAAGCTCACGCTGGGTGGCCCAGCAAGACTGGCGACTCGACCGGGCTTCTTTCAAGCCATGGTGACAGAGACTCGCCCGCTCTCGGAGCCAGGCGTGCCACAGAAGCACCATCTGACACTCAGGCTGCCATCCAATATTGGCTATCTGACCGGTGATCGACTTCAGGTGCTGCCCAAGAACAGCTCCAGTCTAGTGAATCGCGCACTGTCTCGGTTCCGACTCGATCACGACGCGGTGATTACCATCAGCAGCTCAAGGCCGTCGGGCCTGCCCGTGGACACGCCCATCTCGGCAGCTGATCTACTTGGCATGTACGTCGAGCTTGGCCAGCCGGCCAGCCAGAGAAACGTGCGGGCCCTGGCCGACACAGTACCCGTCACCGAGGAAGCGACGAGAAGCCGTCTTATGGAGATGTCGTCCGAAGACCGCTACGAAGGCGAGATCCGCGCTAAGCACGTTTCCGTTCTGGATCTCCTAGATAGTTACCCTTGCGTAGAGTTGCCTCTCGCAAAGTTCCTGACCATGGTGCCGCAGATGCGTCCGCGGACGTACTCGCTATCGTCTTCTCCAACTCGCCTTCCAGGGCACGGAGACCTGACACTGAGCATCTCCCAGGGCGGCCTTGCGACTGGCTACCTAATGTCGGTCCATGCCGGCCAGTTCGTGCATGTGTCGCACTACCCGGCACCGCGAGAGTTTCGCCCTCCCGAGGACCCGTCGATGACACCCATCATCATGGTGGCAGCGGGAGCCGGGCTGGCGCCCTTCCGCGGCTTCGTCCAGGAGCGGGCCGCCGCCAGCTCCCCGCTCGCTCCGGCTCTTCTATTCTACGGCTGTCGTGGTGCTTCCCTCGACGATATGTACCGCGACGAGTTTGATGACTTTGAGCGTGCCGGGGTCGTAGAGGTTCACCGCGCGTTTAGCCGTGACCCAGGGGCTCCATGCAAGTATGTAATGGATAGTCTTTGTAAATGTCAAGACACGTTGACAAGGCTATGGGATGCCGGCGCTGTCGTCTACGTTTGTGGCACTAAGAGAATGTCTGATGCGGTGTTTAGGGTCATGGGACCCATCCTGTTCGAGGCTGATAAGAAGGCTGCAAGGACTGGCTGTGATTCAGTGGACGATTGGGAGCAGAAGCTACCGAGGGGGAGATTTGTTCGCGAGATCTTTAACTAGTTGGTTTAGTACACCGGCCGGTGTACTCGCATAGACACTGGATGAGGTCCCAAGTCTTGTGGACGTTGACCACGAAGTGAGCTTTCTATTAAGAGCGCATCCGATACATAGACAAACATTCAGAGGGTAATAGCACCACCTAAAAAGTGAAGAAGTTGGTGAATGGGATATGATGATTTGAATGAAATTGAGATGCAACAAGATGAACAGCATCGTCATGTGGCTTGGGAATTTGAGACTCAGTGTTTCTGGTTTATTACACACTGACCGGTAATGTGTCCCTGATGACTAAAGCCATTGGACTGGCTACGGTGACCTATTGCTGAGGTACAAACCCAACCATACGATGCACAGTTGGGCAAGTGCACCATCACATACCGCGGAGAACAACTACAGACAGCTTGGTCTTAGGCCGAGGAGAGTTCCCACTCAGAAAAATATGAAATGCAGCTAGATAACGTTCCAACGCCGGCTACTGGTGCGACCCGATATTGTCTATAGTTATGGCGTGATGACCGGTAACACAGGCACTCGCGCCGACGCAGCTAATGGAAGCGGCCACAGTACTTGCCCATATGCCGGCCAAGTTGGCTCCAACGAGCTCACGCCATCACGACAGAACAATCTGACCGAATGCCACAGCAAAAATTACAGTCGTATAGAACATAAAGAGCGGCACATAACGCCAAAGACCAGCAACACTATGAGCCTAGATAGGGGGTAGTTACGTAGCAGATACATGGTGGAAAGAGACTTCAATCCTGTCATCAGTGAAGGGCAAACCGCAATGTTATATAGCTTATTAGTGACCTTTTTGTCTCTAAAACAAATGACTTGAAGAATATGTTAAGTAGTATCTTAGACAATAGGAGGACTAGGTAAGAGGATAGAGTCTGAATTGGTTTCTTAGACGTCTAGCACCAGCATCCAAGGATCACGCAAACACTGTTCCACCCTAAATCTCTTCGCTGTGTCAATCAGCAGCATCGAGTCTATAAGGTCAATAGCTAGATCTCCTACTGAATCCCACCATGGGGATGGGTAGTCGAAGCGTCCTGACTTGATCTGCTGTCCTAAGGTGTGTGGATAGTCTTGGCTGTAGAGCTCATCTGAGAATGGGGGAAACCCGCATAGGCAAATATAGAGCACCACCCCAGCAGACCAAACGTCGACCGGATAGCTGTATCGTCTCTCACTTTGAATCACAAGTATCTTAGGGGCAACATCTGTAGAAACCGTTTAGCTATATCTGGAGATCTCAAGCGGTGGGGAGACGTAAAGGAGCTTACAGCTTGGAGTTCCACAGAGGACGTTGTCTATCTGATCTGGCCGGCTTGAAAGATTCACCGCAAGGTTGAAGTCCCCAAGTTTGGTACTATTCCCACCTTGCATGAGAATGTTCTCAGGTTTAATGTCTCGATGAATCCATCCTTCGTTTTGCTGAGGAACGTCTTATTTTCAGCAAATAGGCCACATGTAGTAGGCAGAGAGGTAACAACTGTACTTACAATGTATTCTAAAGCAGAAAACAGCTGACGAAAAATACCTCGTGTTTCCTTTTCGGTTAGCTTCTTGTTTGTAGCCACAAAGCTAAAGAGGTCTCCCTCCTGCGCAAGCTCCAAAACCAGGCAAAGCTGATCCATGGTATCTGACACCAGAACTTCAACAAGATTTGCCAGATGGGGATTCCTCAAGCTGGACAGGGCTTGGATTTCTTGCAGTAGGCCCCCAGTCTCTGTAAGGGTGGTATTGGTCTTGGCGGTAAATATTTTAACCGCATACCAAACGCCTGTCGTTCTTCTAACGCAGGAAAATACTTCCGCCGAGCTTCCTTTACCTAATCTTTCTGTAACGTCGTACCTTCTATGGAACCCCCTTTCGTATGGAAGCCCATCAAGTTCGAGACCGAAACTACTTCCGAACTCCGCCATCCCAGTAGTTGGTGCCTCTTCTAGTTCTGCAATCTGGGCAAGCTGCTGCGGGGCTGCAAAGGGCCCACGTGGAATCCCAGCATCCACCACAGCCCCATGATCGCCTCCAAAAGATGATAATCTGCTAACAAGAGTCGAAAATCCCTTTCTTGAAGCTTGCAGTGTCGCCCTTCTCCCAGCACAGTTCAGTGGCAGGATGGCCCCTGAGTGCAAGAGAAGATTCGCGATGGCCTCTTGCCCGCTCAGGGCTGCCAGACTCAAAGCCGTCTCTCCCCAGCTGGTTTGTATCGTAACGTCAGCGCCTGATTCTACCAGCAGCTGCACTGTCTTGATATTGCCACTGGAAACTGCTGACATAAGGAGAGACCAGCCTGCCGTGCCCGTGACCGTGTTTACGTTGGCACCTCCATCGATCAAGGCTTTTACTGCAGATGACTTGCCAGCGAGAGTTGCAACAACGATTGCGGTTTCGCCGGCTATATCAGTAGCAGCGACGTCAGCCCCGAGCCGTATCAGTGCCTTGATGTTCTCCTCGTGCCCGAGGCGAGCTGACTTGATGAGCGCGGTTTCCCTGTCGCTGCCACAGCCTTCTACGCCTTCTCCTTGCCCCACGAGTCTTTCTAATACGATGGGTATTTTGGATGAAGCCGCGAGGACTATCGCAGGGACATATTTCGGGAACTCGTTGCTCCAATATGCGTATCTGTAACGAGGGAGGCTCCAGACCTGACTTGCTACGTTGATGGCAGCTTTGTTTGACAAAAAGCGGTTGACATATCCCCAGAAATCCTCGACTTGAGACTCTTGGAGGTCAGCTCCCCAGTATTTTGCCGCGTAGTCCAGAAATGGGAAGTTGTCCAACCGCTCAGCCATCATGCTGTCTGATAAGGCGGGCCCTTCATGAAAGTTGAGAAGCTGCAGGTATTCCAGGCTGATTCTGGCGAGCTCCAGTCGCGGCTTATCCAGATGTTTTCCGAACGTGCGGCTGAGACAGTCTTGGGCCGTATAATGAACCAGGCTGACTGTCTTGGAGGTGCTGTCAACTACGATAAAGCTACCGCAAACACCGGTGACGATATCCTCGGGTGGCAGGTCCTCATCTTCAAGGAAGATCATCTCCTCGTTTTCATATTCATCACGGGTACGCAAATGGATAGCATACATATGCTGGAGCTCATTAACACCCAGCGGTCGTCGGGCACAGAGGATCCATAAAATGACTGTCTCGGCTAGTTCAACATCTTCTTCCGCCTGGGTACGGATTCTCTCAAGTGCTTGCTCATATGTTGCGTCGAGCGTCTTGGGCAAGATTGAAAGCGAAGAGCGAACATCTCGGCGCGTGAGCTTGCGGGAGAGAAAGTCCAAGTTGAGCGTCGCCAGAAGGAATCTTGAAGACAGAAATCAGCAGCTGCTTCGTTTACGAGATCAAACTGAGATTGTTACCTGCATTCCTTGAACACTCTCGGCGATGCTTGTGATGATGTCGTCCTACAGCTTCGGATCAGCACGGACGTGCTTCGCCAGTCTGGGATGCTTCGGAATTTTCCTTTCCAAATATAGCCGTACGTCCTCATCCTTAGCCTTGATGTCTATACGTGCGGCGTCTTTGAAGAAGCCCTCAAAGTTTGTCGAGGTACGTGAGGTGAGTAGAAGACGCACATTATCACCCAGCCCCTGAAGAACACTGACCAGTTCTAGGGCCACCATGTCCGAAGACGCGCATTCGTCAAGAGCATCTATAACGACAAAAATTTTGTCGCGCGATGAGAAGAGCTTAGTGAAGACTCGGGAAAGTTGTTTGATCATGAGACGAGTTCCTTTCTGGGCGTGCTTTGTGTAAAGCGACCTGACCTCTTCAGGCAGGTTTGGATGGCTTGTCCTCTGAAGAATGTGTTCCAAAGACTGGAAACTATTGCCGATTGAGTCTGAGACTCGCGGTGATTGTAATCGCAGTATACATATGCCACAAGATCGTTGGAACAATCAAGTTGATCCTCGAGAGCTTTATAACCAAGGACCTAGTTTCATTAGCAATCAATTGTTCGACAAGACGTCACTCATTTGTCAACATACGCCAGTCGAGTTTTCCCGGCACCAGCTATGCTTTATGTCAGAAAGAAGCCACATTGAGGTGTATCGGAGTGGTCTGTGTCATACGTATGCCGGGACACCATAACATATTGACGTCCCCCGAAAGCCAGTCACAGTATTCCTTAGCTTCAAGGAACCATGTGCCGGTGCCTGGCTGGACACTCTGCAATACGTCGGCTTGCTTGGCCCGGAAGGAAGTTGAGCTGATCCAACAGAGAATCTTATCCGCCTCTTGAATTCTGCCTTCCAGGCCCAGGTCCTCGAGCTGCCTGCTGACCTGGTGAACCTTTTCGTTTGTGAGGTTCGAGATCGTCCTGGACATGTCAGCCGCTTCAAAGGGCCTCTGGGAGCTGTGCCTTACAATAGATCGTTCTGTAGAACAAGCGTGAAATGAGACTTGAGTCTCTCCATCGCCCCAAACAGCTCCAAAGCATCCTTCTTCTCAAACGGCCACTTGAAGGGTTGTGCAAGCCTGCGGAACCCAGCTTGGGGTGCTAACTTTGACACAATCTCTTCCATTGTAACCTTCATCCTTTCCAGAGGTCCGTCGGGGCCTGATAAGTATGCCATCGCTGCAGGGTTGAGGCCATCTTCGTTCTCGGGTTCTCTCTGCTCTTCGACACGGTCATGGATCATCTCCAACAGACATGTCAGGCTGCGCAACTCATCTCGCATCTTCGTTCGCTCTTTGCCGCCATCATTTACATCCTTGAGATAGATGGTCGCCTGGGCAGTTACTTGAATCAAGGCTATCAGGCCGGTGGCAATACTAAGGGGGTCGGTCATGGTTAGTGATTCAGTCTGACCCTGCGGTCAGATGGGCCTACTAAGCTATTATCACAGCCTAAGACTGTTGTGGCAGCAACTCTGAAAAGAATTAAGGGCAACGTTGTTGGTTGTTTCTAAGATCTTTGAAATCAGGCTGAGGCATACCTGATCTTGCCGCTATAATAATGCCTCATGCGAGGGTGTCCATAATTATACAATTTCTAATTGGTTCAATATCTTAAGGGGTCATAAGACTAGTCACGTAATAGGGCGTCGAGAGGACATGGGCATGTATCATCTATCATATGTTACAGCTAAGGTCCTTATTAGTTATTTAACTTCTTACTTTTTCAGTTTCTAAGATGCCTATCTATCCGGAGTTATTTGACAAATTACGCAATATTGTTTCTTTTCTAGCCATCTAAGAAAGGGCGCCTATCTAAAAGAGTTAATAACTAGAGTATACACCTTGAAGTTATCAAATGTGTTGTACATGCTTTAGGGCAGCCTCTTGACGTTGGTCTAAGCAGACCCACCTCACTAATACAAAACGGCTCTTAGTGCTTAGCAGTAGTTATACCTAGTAACGTAACACATACAGCACTCGGTATGCTGGTGCAGGGTAGAGCTTATAAGTAACTGGCCGGAGCTAATGCTGGCATATAAGCAGGATAGTGACTGACAATATTTCAATGATAATAAGGCTGCTACTAATCGTTCTACGAAGTACCTCTACAATTATTTCAAAAGTATCTATACCCTGCCGTTCTATTTCTAAAGGCTTACACCTCTGACATCTATAATATTCTTAGGTATAGCCAGTTCGTCAGACTGAATACCCCAAGGCACACCTTTCTAATATATATCTCTTCTTCTAATACACAGTACTTTCTTTGCTCAGAGTGCTCTCCAATGCAGCGGCTATTATACCCATCACAAAAGGCGGTACTGAAGTTGTATACATGTAACCGCGGCTCGTGTACCGCAGCTCCCTGATTAGATTCTCTGGCCCAGTAAGGTATCCCACCTCCACGTCGGCGGAGGCGCAAATACCAAAGAGCAGGGCGTGCATGCGCTCATCCCGAGGAACAACCTCGTCGATGCGTACGAGGTCCGGCCGGGATGTCGCCGCTGGTACCCTGGCGTCACGCACAAGCACAGTGATTGACGTCTTGCCTCCGACGCACCGGGCAACCCGGCTGAGGGACGCACGCACGAGCTCGGCTGCCGGCGTCGACCCGGCCAGCTCCACGTAAATAGTGAGGCAGGTCTGCCCAGTCCCAGCTTCGATCGCGCAGTGGGCTAGGTCCTTGAGATCGGCGTAGCGGACCACGCGCAGTCGGCCTTCTCCCTTTGCACTCGGCGGGATCAGCAAGAGCCCGTCCTCGACGAGGTGGCTTTCCGGGTGTGCGGGGAAGAGCATGACATGTCTCTTTGCACCGAGCAAAGGACGCGCCAACGCGGCGATAGTGGATGCGAGCGAGACGTCCGCATCTTGAAAGGTCATTGTGGCTTCGCTGCCGACAGCCGCAGAAATGAGGCTCTCGACGGCCACGTGTGAGGGAAAGGTGCCCGCTATCCAACGCGAGCCGCCCGACGCGAGGCCGTAACGCCGGCGAGCGGCATGGCCGGCCGTTGTCAGGGGGCAGGGCCTCTTCTGGGGTTGCAGTTGCGACTGCTGGATGACGAGGGTCTTGATTGATTCCAATACACCGCGCCCTTCCTCCTCACTTTTGTCCGCGTTCTCGTTATCCCCGGGCATTCCCAGCCTCGCTGGAGCAAACTTGGCCGCCTGGCGTCTGACAGACCGAGTCGCTACTCCCGTCGCCCTAGCGACGTCGACAATGGTGCATACCAGTCTCTCGACATCTTCGGCATCAAAGTCGGCCGAGAGGTTGACGCGCACGCGACTCTCCCAGAACGGTACGGCCGGCGTGGTCACGGGGCTGGCCAGCACGCCGCGGCGACGGAGCTCGTACGAGAAGCGCGCAGAGGTGCTGGAGCGACCCGTCCAGACGGGAAGGATGGGTGTGGCGTCTTCGCCGCCGCCGTAAACGAAAACACCCTGCCGGGACAGCTCTCGGCGGCAGAAGCCGGCCGTGGCGGCGAGACGGGCAAGGTTACGGCGCACCAGGCTGGGCTGTCGGATGAGCCAGAGAGCTTGAGCGAGTGTGGCCGTCGACACGGGCTGCGGCGGCATGTCGGCGAAGCATGACGCGAACTCTTGTCTGCCTGCGATGCAGCCGCCGATTCCGCCGATAGCCTTGGAAAGCGTGCAGGTGCGAATGTCTACAGGATCCTGGTCGCACATCGTTCCACGGTCCTTGGCAAGTTCGAAACAGCCCCGGCCGGACTGTCCCAGGGATAGAAAGGAGTGCGCCTCGTCGCAGTACAGGACGAAGCCGTACGCCTCCTTGAGTCTGGCGAGCGCCGGCAGTGGTGGCACGTCTCCCTCCATGCTGTAGAGGCCCTCGACCACGACCAGCTTGACCGAGGCTTTGCTCTCACGAAGCATGTCCTCGAGCAGTGAGGCATCGTTGTGCGGGAACCTACGAAGGGTCACACCACCCAGCCGGCCGATGGCGAGGTAGACGCCCGTGAAGATTGAGTTGTGGCAATGACTATCGCAAAAGACGGCAACAGTGCCGCCGCGCTCACGGAGCAGGGCGAGGAGCCTCGGCAGGGCCAGGTAGTTTGATCCGTAGCCCGTTGTCGTCGGGATGCAAAAGTCGGCCGACCAGAAGGTGGCGAGCTCTGCACGAACCGTGTCGTACATCGGTCCCGAGCGGAGCGTCACTGGGAGGTTGTCCAGACAGAGACTGTGAATGGCCTCGGATATTTCGTTGACGAGGTAGGAGCCTGCGTAGTTGTGCGAGGCCCCGTTGATACAGCTCTTCATGGTCCTGCCATACGAGTCCAGGACGGAGACGCGGCCAATGGATGGGCCAAGGAGGATGCGGGTATTCATTCCCCACCAGAGGAACATAGGCTCGATATAGTGAGAGTTGAAGAGGCCTTGGGCCGAGAGGGGACCGAACATGTGACCCGACCATGATGAAGAGGATGAGGATTGTTTGTCCCTCAGGACTCGTACTAGAGGAGCTGAGAGGAAAAGGACTTGGAGGCGCGTCAGACTCAGGTAGAAGAACTCGGCAAGCTTGCCGACCTGGCTGACTTCGGGAATTTGGGGTTCTTTGGTCTCGTCTTCATCTGGGTCTGACGGGTCAGATGAGATCGTCCTCTGAAGCTGACGGTATGCCATGATAACTTTGCATGCCAGGCCGTGTAGCGACCAACTCTTCTGTGTCAACTAAGGTAGAAGGTGTGTATAATGCGGCGAGAATGCTGTTTAGATCCGGCAGAGAAAGGATCGTGTCTTTATCATTCTGCGACCTCATAAAATCCCTGGTCTCCAATGGTTATGCCCTTGCTGTACCCATCGTAACAGTTTGGCGAAATGACCGGAGCGCCAGACCGACAATCTCGTTAGATGGACCAAATGAATTGGATTCAACAAGATGTTACATCAGATTCGGCCTGCACCGGCAGTTGTTGTTTGCTGAGGCTTTTTCTGGCGAGGCGCAGTAATTTAACGCAAACTCAGCTTGAGTTCGTTAAGAGCCCCTTTTATCAACAGGATATTGTTTGCAGGGGTTCCCAAGATAGCGAAACTTAGTTATACTTAGTCTCGTAATCCAGGGAGTTGCCGTAAGAGGAAGTTGTTCTGGCGCCAGAATAAGGATACTTTGAACAAGCCAGGCAAAGTGGAAAGTCTTTTGTTTCAAGCTGATTTGGTCCACGAGTCAATGATGGCAGTCTACCCGTCCAAAACAACCCCCAAAAATCCCTCAAGTAAAGTATTCACTCGCTCGGCGGCCTCCCAGTGAGCCCAGTGCCCTCCCCCTACGACTTCCTTTCTCAGAGATCCCTTCTTGAACCACCTTTCCATCCCATCAGCCAGGCTCGGTGGCAGGGCCTCGTCCTGCTCCCCCATAATCACCATGGCAGGCACATTGATCACAACCTCGTTCTTGGCCGCCGCCTTCTCATCCTCGTAGTTGACCGCCCTAGTCCTGTACCAATTTGTCGGCCAGCGGAACGACCTCTCCGCGAATTGCCTGACGTAGAAGTCCACCCATTCCTCCCCCATCAACCTAGCAGGCCCTATGACACGTAGTACCTCGGCGGGCCGCACCCCCTCGTCCACAGTAAATGCCTCCTCGCCGTGAGGCCCACGGCCATCGTAGATGCCATTGATGAAGCCGCGCAGGTTTGCGTGCGAAGACGAGGCGTCGTCGATGATCGACACGGCCTCGTCACCGCACAATTGCACTTGGTAGCGGAGCGACGGGATGTTGGCGACATAGTCATGCAGATCCACAAACGGACCTGTCTCCGGGGGCAAGTATGGGACGTTGAGGCAGACGACGGCGGTGAATAGTGATGGCGTCCACAGGGCGACCATGCGCCAGGCCAGCGCAGCCCCCCAGTCGTGGCCGGCCAGTAGCAACGGCGATATTTTGTCTTGCTGGTCGTCTTGGTCGATCACGTGGCTAACCAGGGCCCGCATGTGGCTCGATATCTTTCTCAGACTGTATTCGGCCGGGTCTGCGGGCGCTGAGGTCCGGCCGTAGCCCAGCATATCGGGGGCGACGACGCGCAGGTTGAGTGGGGGTGCGGTCAGCAGGGGGATCTGGTGACGCCAGGTCAAAGCAGTGTCGGGCCAGCCATGTAGCAGGAGGATAGTGCCACGGGGCTCGACTGATTCCGGGACCGACTGAATGTAATGGTAGATGTGGCTGTCGATGGGGACCGAGTGGTGGGTGATCCGGTCATCCTCAGGCGTTAGGGGAGGGGGAGCCATTGGTTTCCAACAGTAGGCTGTGTGCTGGGCTTGGTGTTGTCTGACTCGGTTGTGTTTGGTCTCGGCTACTCTTCGTTTTCAACTGAGTTGCCATGAATACTATTTCCATATGGATTCTGGAGTCCGGGGACGGTGTCTATGCGGCATTTATGTATGTACGGAGTGCAGTCGGTGGTTGTATGTAAGTTTGCTGACACAGGGATTATCCTCAATACTTCAAAAGGGGGATGGTTACTATGTATCATATCTCCGTCTCAAGCCATAAGGTGAATCTTAGAAAAAAATGCCTCATGATGTTCGAGAGGCAGTGAAATGGCCCCTTTGGAAGGGCGAAGCCAGTCATCTCCGCTGTTGACAACGACGTAGGTAAAAATCATATATCTATTAACTACCTAGGTGGCTACATACAGATCCTCCATACAATTTGAGCAAAGACATTGGCATTGTGTGGAAGGTGCACCTCGTTGATCTTCTATAAAGCATTATTATCAAGCGACCGGTTTCTTGTTCAGCAACAAGTCGGCATACTCTGAACAATTCCTGTTTGATCCCAATACCACCACTTCACACAACTTCAATGTCGATAGCAACAGCAGAAACTTCACATGAAGGACCCAACCAATGCCCCAGCCTCGCTACGAAGCCCATGGGCTGCCCCTATGCTCGAGGGGAAAATATCCCCGGCCCAACTGCCTATCCCCTCATCGGCAGCATCGCGTACCTCGACCTCAAGGCACCGTTTGAATCCATGCTTGCCATCCAGAAACAGTACGGCCCAGTGTTCCAAATGGTGTTTGCTGGAAAGCGTGAGATCAGCGTTTGCACACGAGAGCTTGCGAACGAGGTGTGTGACGAGAGTCGATGGCACAAGCTCGTCTCGAGCGGCGTATCGACGCTGAGGCAGGTGGTGCAGGACGCCCTCTTCACGGCTCACCACGGCAGCCGGCAGTGGGGCATCTCGCATCGCATCCTCAAGCCCATATTTGGTCCTCTCAGCGTCCGTAGCATGTTCGACGAGATGAGCGATGTCGCCGAGCAGCTGTGCCTCAAATGGGCCCGTCACGGTCCGGACCAGGCCATAGATGTCGCCGCGGACTACACGCGCCTGACGCTAGACACCATTGCCCTCTGCATGATGGACTACCGCTTCAACAGCTTCTACCGCGACGGCCAACACCACCCTTTTGTCAGCCACATGGTGTCCATCCTGAGCGAGGCCGACATCCAGGCCATGCTGCCTGACTGGGCGGGGTTTTTCCGCCCGAGGGCAATGCGCAAGTTCAAAAAAGACATTCAACTCATGACTGAACTGTGCAGAGGCATGGTGGAGCATAGGAGACGCAACCCCGTATCGCGGCGCGACTTCCTAAACGCCATGCTGAACAACAGCGACCCGGAGACGGGGGAGCGCCTGGACGACGACGAAATCGTGCGGAACCTCATCACGTTCCTGGTGGCCGGGCACGAGACCACCTCCGGCATGTTGTCCTTTGCCACGTACTACCTCCTGGCGCACCCGGAGACCCTTGCAAAGGCACAAAAGGAGATCGACGACGTGATCGGCGCCGAAGCCGTCTCGGCCGCTCACCTTGGCCGGCTTCCGTACCTGGACGCAGTATTCCGCGAGGCGCTGCGGCTGATGCCGACGGCCGTGGCCTTTTACGTTACCCCCTACGAGACCGAGATGCTTGGCGGCAAGTACGTTGTCGAGCCGGGCGAGGCCGTGTGTCTGCTGCTGGACCCGATCCACCGCGACAGAGCAGTCTACGGAGACGATGCCGACGAGTGGCGGCCCGAGCGGATGCTGCAGCAAGAATTCGAGGCGCTGCCGCCAAATGCGTGGAAGCCGTTCGGGAATGGGCAGCGCATATGTCTGGGCATGGCGTTCACGTGGCAGGAGGCCAAGCTGGCCATGGCTATGCTCTTGAAAAACTTCGATCTGGAAATGCACGACCCGGCATATAAGCTCAAGATCAAGCACTTGTTGACTATCAAGCCCGAGGGGTTTGAAATCAGGGCAAAGCTGAGACGCGGAAGGACGGCGACGGATTTGCACAACGAGCTGCGGCGGGGGCAGCCCCAAGGCCAGGAGCCCGTCAGGTCGCAGGATATGCCCCTGGGCCAGGGAGAAGAGCTCGCAATTCTGTACGGTTCGGACACGGGCAGCTGCGAGGCCCTCGCCAACCGCCTGGCTTCTAACCTCGACAGTCGCGGGTTCAGAACGACAGTAGGGGCCATGAACTCGGCCGTTGGACATATGCCCCAGTTCTGTGTTTTCATCTGCGGCACGTATCATGGCAAGCCAGCCGCAAATGCCTCCGAGTTCGTTCGCTGGGTCGAGGAACTCCAACCCGGCAGCCTGAACCGCGAGCACAAATATGCCGTGCTCGGCTGCGGCCATAGCGACTGGGCGTCCACGTTTTACATGATCCCCCTTCTGCTCGATGCCAAGCTCGAGGTCGCCGGAGCGGTGCGGCTGCTGCCCATGGGCAAGGTGAACAACGCCAGGGATGATGCTTTCGAGGTGCTGGATCGCTGGACAGGTGAAATACTCGGCGCGGCGCGTGACGGCGAGCCCGGGACGGATCCGGTGGGTTCGTCACCATCATGGTCATCGCCAGCTTGCTTCGACGTCACGGTGGTGGAATCGCCGGACGTGGAGTTGACAAACCCGTCTCCGCCCCCAGGCTTCTGCACCGCAACCGTATCGGATTCGAAGATACTGGCCACGGACCCAGACACAGGCCGTCGGGAAAAGGGCCACCTCGAACTCATCCTCCCGGCAGATATGACATACGCTCCAGGCTGGCACGTACAGGTCCTCCCGCGGAACGACGAGGCTACCATTGACCGCGCCCTACGCCGGTTCGGCCTCCGCAGCGACTCCATCATTGTCGTGAACGCCAAGAACGGCGCCATCAGCGGGGGGGCGGACTTCCCACTTGGCATGCCCATCCGTGCTTCGCATCTTTTTGCGGGGAGGGATCTGCGACGCGCCATCACGAGGTCCGAGGTCTTGAGCAGGCTATCGGAGCTAGCCGTCGACGACACGGCCAGGGCCGCGCTGGCGACAAACAAAGCGGCAGAAGACCTCGACGAGAACCCCAGGAGCCTGCTCAACGTGCTAGACCAGTTCCCGCCCTCGGCTGTGCCCATAACACTTGCAGAACTCGTTGCCCTCCTGCCCCGGATGCAAGTCCGGACCTACTCTTTCTCCTCCTGCCCTGCTAGCATGGCTGCAACAGCCGGAACCGCAGCTCGTGTCGGCCAGCGCGCCACCCTCACCTTCTCCATCATTGATCAACAGGCCAACCCGACGCGAGGCGTCGGCTCCAACTTCCTATCCACCCTCGCGCCTCAAGACGTTGTCCATGTGTCCATCCGCCCGGGCCAGGACAGCAGCAGCAAGTTCCGCCTCCCCTCGGACCCCTCCACTCCCGTGATCATGATCGGCGCCGGGGCGGGTATCGCGCCCTTTCGTGCGTTTGTGCAGCAGCGCGCCGAGTTCCTCCGCAACGGCACCGTTCTCGGCCGGGCGCTGTTGTTCTTTGGCTGCAAAGGTCCGCACGACGATCTGTACCGAGATGAGCTGTCTGGTTATTCCGCAGATATTGTAACGGTTGAGAGGGCCTACTCCCGCCCTCTTGGGGGTGGGGCCGGTAGGTACGTTGATGATGCTCTGTTAGGATCGCGACGGGACGAAGTGGTCGAGCTGTGGCGTAGAGGGGCTGTCGTGCTCGTCTGCGGGTCCAAAGGGCTTGCCGACGGAGTGGTGCGGACGTTGGTGCCGGTGTTGTTCGGCGCGGATAAGCTGGAGAGCAGGATTGGCACACATGTTGTTGGCCAGGAGGACTGGTGGGAGGATTGCGTGGCGGGGGGGAGGTATGTTGCGGAGGTTTTTGCTTAGTAAAGTCTGTTCTCTTCTAGATGTTACTGTTAAACGTGGCAGAATTACATGTCAGGGTTAGATAGTAGTAATTATATAACTATTTATTAATTAGGCCTCTTGAAAGGGGTAAATATTTTCCCCTTTATTCCGGTAGGGAAATTATCACAGAAGGCTCATGCATGTGTGGCGGATGCCGTCAGCCACACCACGTGCCATGTCACATGGACGAGCTCGAGGGCCCCCTTTATGGGCCCTCCACCCGTGAGATTCTTCTTCTCACAATTCAAGCCTTTTCTTCACTCATTCGTATCACATGGAATTCCGCTATATTTGAGAGCTGAACTCCGAATCACGCGATTTCACAGCTGGTGTGGGGTAGAGCTTGTTAATAACTGGCCAGAGCTGAGGCTTGGCATTTATGTGTCAGAACTTAGGTAGCGTGGTACAGTATCCGTACAACAGGAACAAATAGGGTTTTTGTTTTTTATCACGCTATATGTCTCCTCTTGATAGGTGTACATCTGAGCAGGATAGTAACTGACAATATTTGAACAATAAAAAGGCTGCTATCCATCATTCCTACACCTAATTTGCGAATGTCTTCATCATTCCTTGCTCCTCTTCGCGCAGGCTACAAGATGATTCCAAAGAATGCTGCTAAAGAGACCGCTCGGCCGGCTTCTCCAGATATTCAGCAGAGCAAGGAAAACACGCCTTTATCCCAGCCGTTAGCCTACTAATTATTTCATTAAAAGGCCTACACTAGTACCCTTGTCTTTAACCTCTTAGCCTTTATCCTCCTAGCCCTTTATAGCACTCTCTTTAATTTATAGGTTATTAATATTAATTCTTTAGTTATTATAACTATTAACATATACACTTATATTAGTGTAGTTATAAAGGTTCTTAATAAAGGCCTCCTATAAGCAGTATAGGTTATTATTAGTAACTAAGCCTCTTACACTCTTATATAACAGCTCTAGCTTACTTATATACTTATTATATTCTAGTCTATCTTAGGATTAATTATAAGCCTAGTATTTATAGGTAGTACTAAGATATTTACTAATAGCTTCTTACCTATTAAAGTCTGCTATATAAGTATTATATATATACGTATTAAAGCGTTTAGTGTATTTAACTCTTTAATTAAGACAGCTGTTCTATTAGCTATAAGGGCACTTAACTAACCTGATGTTTCATTAATTATAAGCTCTATTAAGTTTCCTATTAATATTATCTTAGATTTTTTAATTATCTCTAAGGTTTATATTAGATCTTATTAGCCTATAGTTAACATATAAGTAGGGATCTAGCTTACCTATAACCTAATATTAGTACTTATAGGCCTAGTTTACTTTCTCTAGAGTAACACTCTTTAATACTAGAGAGATAGAGTATATAATTAAGAGAAGTAAGGTGTAATAAAACCTTATACTAACGCGCTTCTAATCTTACTACGTCCTAGTGTCCTAACTTTTATTAAGTTAGTATTATAAGAGGCTTATATATATATAGTAGTTATTATTAGCTACAATACGTGCTATGTTATATAAATAAGCTTAAGGGCCCTCTTTATATAGGCCCTCTACCTAAGAGATTTATTTTCCTATAATACAAGCCTTGTTTACTTATTTATATCTCCCTACTTACTATATACTTTAGCTTATAAGAGTTAGCTATCTATAATACGCTTTATCTCTAGCTAGTTAGTAATATTATATTAATAGGATTAACGTATATAATAGCGTAAGGCGTTTTTAATATAATTTAATAGCGGCTTATTATAGTCCTTATATAAGCCCTTAAACAGACCTCCCTCACTTTTGTTAGTTATATATAGGGTAGCTAGAGAAGTATAATTAAGGTTAAATCCTGCTATCTAAAGGCCATAAGGCGTAGTATCTATAATATTACCTAACTAGCTCTTATTTCTATTATTATAGCTCTTATTATTAAGGTTCTTGTCTATTTATTCCTAATATTCTATAGTGCCAATCCTTTTACTTAATATCTTAGTAGCTTAAATAAGGTAACTAAAGTAATAGTAATAATGTAGTAAACTATTAACTAGTGCTATATCTTTTACACTATGTCCACTATACTAGTAATAGTCTTGCTAGTAACATAACTAAGATAGTACCTTTAGTAAAGTCTAGTAAGTAATTTGCTTTATATACTGCTGTAGGCTATTATCTACTAAACAGTAAAGTTGTTAGCTAATAGGGCTTAGACCTATTATAGTCTTGCTTTTAGCAGTAGTCTTGTCTTTAGTTTTATTACTATCTGTTTTATAGATAGCATTTAGGTCTAGGCTTTCATGACTAGTAGGACAAGGCTTAAGCTATTTAGGTATTAATTAACTAAAGTAACTCTATAACTCCCCTACCCTATATCTAAACCACCCCTGCATCTAAACCACCTGAAATTCCCGTATTTCCCCTCCTTTATTAACACCACTACCTTTTTTAAACTATTATAATAATTACTATTTATCACTAAATAACGCTATTTTTTTAGGATACCTTCTTTAAACTATTATAAAGTAATATTCTAAAGATAAGCTCTAATAGGCTCTCCTAGATATATAGTCTAGGCAGTATAGCCTCTAGGCTGTTGCTTATAGATAGGGTATACTATATATAACACTTTAGTATTAATACTTTAGTAGGTAAAGTAGGAATACTGCCTTTAAAGATAGGCAGCACTTATCTTAGGCCTAGGAGGATAATCTAGCTGCCTATATTACTCTTTAATAGTCTCTTAGTAGATATATTAACTATTAATAAGTAAAAGGCCTAGTAAAGTATATAATAGGTAATAGGTATCCTCTTATAAGAAAGAAATATATAGCCTAATTTATATAGTAAAATCTATTTATTAGAACCCTCTAATTTAGAGTAATTAATACTTAGTAATAGGCAGCTTATTCCCCTAAGGTTATTAAGGCTTTCTTCTATTATCTAACTAATATCTTTACTATCTAAGGAATCTATCTATCTAACTAATAGAATATAAATAAGACTAGTATTATAAAGGGTAAAAGAGGTAATAGGCTAGTACTAGGCTTTAAGGTATTATAATATATTTAGAAAAAGTAGCTAGGATCCTAGGTATAGGTATCTATTATTAAGTGTATATCTACTACTAGTAGCTCCTTACCTCCCTTAGTTATATATAAAGGTAAATTACTTTAGGCCTAGTAGTTCTTATTTAACCTTAATATATATAAGCTATAGTAATTTATAGTAACTAATAATAGCTAGATAACTAATAATACTACCTTTAAATAGCTTAAGGAGGTCTTTATCTTATATACTAGGCCTACTTATCTAGAGGAGGCTAGACTACTAGTTCTTAATAGGTATTATAGCTATATAACTATTAACTTTATATAGTAATACTAGTAGTATAATATATATCTACTAATATTAGTAGTAGCTAGAGGTTATCTAGATTATAGCCTATATATATAAGACGCCCCCTATCTAACTTAATAGTAACTAAGGCCTATTAGATTATCTAGGCTAGCTAATAGATAGGTTAGCCTAGTAGCTAGTAGTAAGATAAAGCTAAGTCTATTATCTTATAGTTAACGCCTTATTAATCTACTAATCTATAGTATTAATTACACTAGTTAACCTAGCTAAGTAAGGATAGGTTAGATACCTATACTATTTATTACTTATTTAGAAAGGTATAAAAAGGATATAATAAGTAGGTATTTAGAGCAGCCCTTCTAGAAAGGTAGGTTAACTTATTACAGGCCTAGTTAGATAATATATAGTTAGTTACGTAAGAGGAAAAAGGTCTGCCTATCTCCTAATAGCACTTTTGCTACTATAGAGGATATAATCTGGGCCTGAAGTCCGGATCCCGGCAGTATAGATAGTCCGGATGAATCTAGGGCATCCGAACTACCTAGCGAGGCCAAAAGTTGCATATAGGTAGGCGGTAGAGATGGTGAAATAAGTGGTGATAGTGGTGGCGATGGTGGTGATGATGGTGGTTCGGATGTGGGGGTGGTTTGGATATAGGGTGGGGGAGTTACTTCTAAGATACTTAGTATATATTAACAATATTTAAATTTAAAGATCTATATTCTTTTCTTTTTTATATACATATATATCTATCGGCTGTTTAATTTTAAATACATTCTTGTGATTATAAAAACGGATCGGTAATCGCCACTGCGCAATTACGGCTTATATCACGACAAGGTTTTAACTAGTATATTATGTCTTTTTGATTCGGACCTATAATAGATCTGTTTGCAGCTCCAAACTCTTCGACTTTCAATCATATTATATTTCTATACGACCATCATCATGCCTTACGTTCAAGATAGCTCGTCTCTTGGCGAGACCAACTCCAGCTCTGGGGAGTATCCCAGCCAGCAGCAGGCCATGGTTGACGACGCCACCTATGGGACTTGAAGCACTCCCTGTTCTACGGATGATGGACTAACCAAGAATGCACCCTCAATAAGTTGCCGACTGCCTGGGAGCGCGTCATCCCCTGCGAATTTCTGGAAATTCATGATGTCCAAGGGAACCGGCCAGAACCCCCAAGTTCCCGACAGCCGATTCAATATTGATGCTCATTAACACTGCTACAACGACCGCCCCGGCAGCTTCCACGTTCTGGGCGGCTACTTCGTCGACGGCACACTGCAGGAATTCGGCCCGTCCTTCTTTGGTATCACGCCCATCGAGGCCATGTGGATGGATCCGCAGCAGAGAAAGCTTCTCGAGGTTGACTACGACTCATTCGAGTCCGCCGGCGTGACTCTCGAGGTGAGAAGGGGGGACCCCGAACACATGAGCGCATTTCTCGACGTGACTGACGTGATGGCACACAGAAAATTGCCGGGTACAAAATGGCCGTTTTTGCGGCAAGCTTTACAGCAGACTTCCAACAGATGACGTTCAGGAACCTTCATTCCGCCATGCGTTAGCTGCAACAGGCGTCGACCCCGGCATCATCAGCAACCGTATCAGCCACGCCTTTAACCTTAAGGGAACCTCAATCGTGGTAAACATAGCCTGCTCATCAAGCGTCTACGCTGTGCATAACGCCTGCAACGCGCTCCGGAACAAGGAGTGCCAGGCGGCTGTCTTCTGCGGCGTTAACCTCATTCTCGCTGTCGACCAGCACATGAACACGGGTAAGCTAGGAGTGCTTTCTCCCACCTCGACCTGCCACAAGTTCGACTAGTCTGCCGACGGGTACGTACGGGCTGAGGGTGCTGCGCCGTCTATCTCAAGCGTCTGAGCGACGCCATCCGGGACGGTGACCCCATCCGGGACCGTGACCCCATCCGTGCCGTCATGCGCTCGAGCGCGACGAACAACAACGGCAAGGTCCCCGTCGTGGGCATTACACACCCCAACCGCGACGCCCAGGTCGAGGTAATCAGGCATGCCTACCACAGCGCAGGAAATCTCGACCCCCGTCTCACCGGCTTCTTCGAATGCCACGGAACCGGTGCCGCCATCGGCGACCCACTCGAGGTCCATGCCGTGTTGCTCGCCATGAACGACCAGCGCAGCGACGAGGAGCCGCTCCTCATCGGCGCCGTAAAGACTAACATCGGCCACAGCGGGGCCGCCTCCGGGCTTTCTGCCGTCATCAAGGCGGTTCTCGTGGCCGAGCGCGGCGTGATCCCCCCAACGCGGGGCATCATCAAGCCCAATCCGAAGATTCAATGGTCGGACTGGAAGGTCGCCACGCACAACGATGCCGTCGAGTTTCCCCGGGAGCTCCCGGTCCGCCGCGTCAGCTTGAAGAGCTTCGGATACGGTGGCACCGGTGCCCACATTATCGTCGAGGGCGCGAACTCACTCCTCGCCCAGAAGCAGTCCTACAAGTACATCGATCCCACAGCGGCGGCCCTGTCCAGGGAGGGCAGGGTCAAGATGCCCAGGGGCACCTTCGACCGCAACAGACCATTTCTGCTCGCCTTTCCGGCCCACGACAAGGCCGCGCTCGAGAGACGCCTGGCCACCCACGCCCAGGTCTTTGGGAACTACGAGCTGCTGAACCTGTCCTACACGCTGGCGAACCGCCGGACCAGGTTCCTCAGCCGCGGCTACGCCGTCGTGAGCCCCGGCAGCCGAGCCGCCACCACCGTGACGGGCTTGTTCGAGGGTCTCGTCTGCGCCGACAACAAGAAGACGCCCACGATTGCTTTCGTCTTCACCGGCCAACGCGCGCAGTGGCCGCGTATGGGTGCCGAGTTGATGGCGTACTACCCGAGCTTCCGCCGCACGATCCAGGTATTGGATATGACCCTCGGAGACCTGGACAACGCACCCGAGTGGACGATCGAGGAGGCCTTGCTGGAACGGGGACCTTTCTCGCGTGTGCAGGAGGCCGAGTTCGCGCAGCCGCACACGACGGCGGTCCAAATTGCCTTGATGCAGCTCCTCCGCGTCTGCGGCATACGCCCCGTCGTCAACGTCGGCCACTCGTCGGGAGAAATCGCTGCGGCCTACGCGACCGGTTATATCTCGGCATCCGAGGCCATCATCATGGCCTACTGCCGCGGCCAAGTCGTCCGCGACATCAACACCAACGGCGCCATGATGGCCGTCGGCATCGGCGCCGAGGCCGTGGAGCCCTACCTCGCGCAGCTCAGCCCCAAGGGCAGCGTATCCGTCGCATGCCACAACTCGCCTTCCGGCGTCACTCTGTCCGGCGACGCTGCTGCCATCGACGAGCTTCAAGATCAGCTGACCAAGGATAAGATCTTTGCTTGGGTGGTAAAGACAGGCGGCAAGGCATACCACTCGCCTCACATGATCCCGGCGTCGGAAGCGTACGAGCGACTGGTGCGAGCCTCCAAGACGTCGCTGCTGCCGCTTGACCTCCCCTTGCAGACGCGCGCCAGGAGGGTGTCGTCCGTTAAGTTGTAACAGCAGAGAAGGTTGATAAGAAACACACTAGAAATTCCATCAAGGAATGGAAAAGAATTGCCTGTGCGTGGCGAGAAAAATGACGAGAATAGGCCACGCAAGCCCCCGTGCCTGGCCGAGACACAGAATCAGGAGGGTGTAAACAGGGAGGGTTCTTGGGGGATCTTTATATAGTTAAGTTGTAATCAATCAGCGATTTAGCTTAAAAGTTAGGCCAGCTGAGTATATAAACGTGTGCTCTAGGTATTTCACTTGAATCGGTCTAAGATTGTGGCTCTTGGTATTTACATTCCAGAATCCATTTCTAAGGGCACTAATGAAGAGCGTTGCCAAACACCTTACCCTGTAATTTTATATTGTCCTGAAGTAACTGCCGAGTCTTTCGGTCCACATAACAGGAATGCCTACACATACCAAATGAGTTATGTGGCTGTTTCTCTCCCCTCTTGGTGTTAAGGCAAAGCACCCACTTTTCGGCACCCCCTGCATTTCGGCACCCCAAAAATGCCGCCCAGCCACCCATTTTTAAAAACATCCCCTATTTCAAACTATTATAACATTTTCTAACCTTTATTAAATTACTTTATTTTTTTAGAATACCTTCTTTATAACTAAATAGTCTAATATACTAAAGATAAGATTAATTAGGCGTTACAAGCCGTTCAAAATAGGTATAGCCTTAAGAGGGCAGCTCTTAAGTATAGGATCCTACAGACTACCCTCTAGTATTGTATGCATAGCACCTAGCAAAGGGCTACTATATTTAAAGACCTCTAGAGGCTCTTAATAGCCTAAGAGGCTAGCCTAGCTACCTAGATAACTACCTAAGCAGACTTAGGCCTGTGTTACAGGCCAGAGCCATAGTATATGTAGTAAGGCTTTGCCTACTATAACGTATTATAACGCACGCACCTATAACTAGTTTATACTTACTTAGTACACCTACTTAAATACTATATATATAAAGGCATACTAGAGAATAACCCTTTCTCTTCTTAGCTTAAATTAATTATATTAAGTTACTATATACCTATTAAAAGGTAGTACTAGCCCTTTATATATCTAAGCTTATAATAAATAAATTAAATAGTATAGTATTTATAGTGCTTATATAATAACTTTATAATAAGAATATAAAGTTAAAGGATAGTATAAGGTCTTTTTATACTATAGTAAAAGAGAAATACTATAAGGTAGTAAGTATATATAACATACCTACCTCTAATAATAATATAGACACTAAATTAGTAGCTAGTAACGCTACTATAGGCTATACTACACCTACTATACTTACTACTATACTACTATACTAAAAGCTATTACTACTACCTCTAAAGTTTTCTAGATTACACTATAATTTTTTACTATAGTAGTAATAGATATATAATAAAGTAAAAATTAATTATAACTTTTTTACTAGTAAGTATAAAGTATAGTATCTTATTAACTCTTACTTAGAGATTAGCCTTTAGTATATAGGCTTAACTTTTTATAAGAAAAGTAAAATACTATATAACTATAAGCTAAAAGAATTCTTATATTACTTAAAACGTACTTATAGTAATCCTAATAAGAGATAATATATAGCTACTATACTTACTAATTTATATATAAAAGAGACTAAAATATTCTTTACTTTTTACCTTAAGTTTAAATAGATCTTTATAGAGGTAAGTAGGTAGTTATAAGATAATAGTGCCTTTATAGCTTTACTTATAAGTATGCTTTTAGTATACCTTTATACTACTTTAGTAAGTATATCCCTCTTAGAGGGCTATAACGCTTATATTACTTAGATTAGTAAAGTAGCCTAAAAGGTTAAAGACCTTACTAAGGTTATATATATATACTACCTTACTTACCTTTTATATAAAAATACTAATAAAAATACTATAATAGTAAGATTAGCCTAGAATACTAATAAACCTACTACTAGGGGTAAAAGGGTTATAAAACCTATAAAAAGGTATATATAAAGTATAAAACTAAGACTAACTATAACTACTAGAAGCTAGGTTACTTTATAAGGAACTATAATAGTATACTAGTATATATAGCTAAAATAACTACTATATAAGTTAAAAAGCTTATAGAAAGTAAAAATAATAAAAAAGAAATAAACTTTAGTAATAAGTTAGAAAAAAAATAACTTTAGGATAAAATTAGGCCCTAGAGCTAATAAGTAAAGAATATAAAAGATAAGAGGAGTTTTTATATATAAGGAAAATAATTAGATTATTTATATTATTAGATACTTAAGTTAATAAAGGTTTCTTTACCTAAGGCTTTACTAATACTAGCTATAACACTTATATAATAGTAAATAGTAACTTTATATAAAAACAGTGTTTTTTATATATGTTATAATATAAAACCTTATTAAAGGGGTTTACTAAAGGCTCTTAATATATATTAATAATAGGTATTATTATATTTAACTTTAAACTTAGTAAGTACTAATAATATATATATATATATATAGTACTTAGATTAGATTAAGATATCTTCCTAAGGAAGCCTTAAATAGAGGCTAATAAGGTTATTTTTAATATAATAAAAAGTACTATTTACTATAAATATATAGACCTTACCTTATAATTAGTAAGCTAATATAAGTTAGAGAAAGTATATAAAATCTATACTATAGGTATTATTAGACCGCCCTTATTTATAGTATTATATTACTATATAGCCTGCTTAAAAAAAGTAAAATAATATAGCACTACTCTAGCTACCCCTAAGTAAGGGGCCTTCCTCTAAATTATAGTAGTAAGCCTTAAGGATATTAAAAAAGCACTAATACTAAAAAAAAATAAAAAGGAAAGTAAGCTATAATAGTAATAGTTTTTTTATAATAAGTATATAATAAATTTAAGGACTTATTTAACCTTACTATATTAATAAAAGTACTACTATACTAGCCTAAATAAGATTACTATATTAAGCTTAAAAAAAGTATAACCTTACTATAAGGACTACTTTATAGTATATTATATAAAGAGCTATTAGTCTTAAAGAAGACACTAGAGGATCTTTTAGATTAAGGATTTATTTATATAAGTAGCTTTACTACTAAGGTGCTAGTACTACTTATATAAAAACTAAGTAGTAGATTATACTTTTATTATAACTACTATATACTAAATATAATTACTAAGAAAGACTATTATCTTTTACTACTAATTATAAAAACACTTTAATATATATATACTACTAAATAGTATACTAAGGTAGATATTATAGCTACTTTTTATAAGATATAATAGCTAAGAGAGATAGGTATAAGACTACATTTTAAATATAATATAGGCTTTTTAAATAGTTAGTCTACCTCTTTAGCCTTATAAATATACTTACTAGTTAGTAACGCTTTATTAATAGTATACTATATAAGTTTCTAAATAACTTTATTACTATATACCTTAATAATATTCTTATTTATACTAATAGTATAGAATAAGACTATAAAAATAAAGTTAGAGAGGTCTTTATAAGGCTATATATAGTAAGACTTAGCCTTAACGTAATAAAAAGTAAGTTTAGTATAAAGAAGGTAAAGTATATTAGCTTTATACTAAAAGCTAGTAAAAGTATATTAGTAGACCTTAAAAAGATATATACTATTAATAAATAGTTAGTACTTAAATTAGTAAAAGATATATATAGTTTTTTAGGCTTTACTAACTATTACTATATATTTATAAATAACTACTTAAAGATTATAACGCCTTTTATAAGGTTAATAAAGAAGGATATAGTATTTTAATAAGATAATAACTATAAGAAGGCCTTTTATAAAATAAAAGTATACTTTTAGTGTGCCTTTATACTTTATAACTTTAATCTAAAAGCGCTAATATATATTAAGACTAACTACTTAGGCTACGCTACTAGAGAAACGCTTATATAGGTAGATATAAAGAGGTATTACTAACTAGTTACTTTTTACTTATATAAGCTTACCTCTACTTAGTATAATTACCTTATCTATAATAAGGAGCTACTAGTAGTAATTAACTATCTCTAAGCCTAGAAAGTAAAGCTATAAAGCGTAAAAAGTATATTTATAGTTATAATAAACTATAAGTCCTTAGAGTATTTTATAAAAAAGTAAAAGTTAATAAAGCGCTAAAGCTAATAAGTAGAAATCCTATTAGAATATAACTTTAAGATTACTTACTACCTAAGTAAGAAAGCTATAGTACTAGATATACTATCTTAGTATAAGTAAGATATACTAAAAGATTAAGATAATAAGAAGAAATAAAGCTAAGTTATTTAGTTAATACTAAATAGCGTAATCCTTATAGTAATAATACGCTATATAAAGGCTATATAGGCCTTTTATATATAAATATTTAGAGCTAATAACCTCTAATAACTATAAGATACTACTTAGGATAATAATAACGTTTTCTAGTATATATACTATACTATAGTAAAAGACTATAAGTTACTTTCTTTTAACCTAGAGGTATATATTTAGATTATAGACTATATACTAGATAATAAGCGTAGGCTAATATAGTAAGAGAGGCTATAAGTGCCTAGTAATACTAACCTAGATTTACTAGCTAATAGCCTTTATACTTAGTTAATTTAGTAAAGCTATAACTTTATAGTTACTAGCTACCTAGGACGTAATAGTATACTTAAAATAGTCTCTTATAGGTTTTACTAGCCTAGCTAGGCACTAGTAGTGTACTACTTTATATATAATTATAACGTATATAAAAGGACTAAGGTCTAGTAAGAGGCTAAGAAGGGCCTACTATAACTACTTAGTATACTTAAGTGCTTATAAAGTAACTTATTAATAGACTTTATTACTAGTTTCCTAAAGTTAGGTACTAATAAATCTAAATATATATAAGTAATTATTAACTATCTTAGGCAGTTAGTTACCTTTAAGCTAATACTATTAATAAATACTAAGCTTTATATAAAGCGTTTTTTAAGTGCTTACTTTTACTTTTATAATATACTATAAAGTATAATAA